GCTATGATGTATGCGTGATTATAAAAACTGGATAAAAATTTTCACAAAAACAAAGATTTGGCAAAAAAAAACAAACATGATTAAAATATTATGTTTCAAGTTTGATACACCCCCTTTTAGTTACGAGATAGCTTGTGAGCGAGTGCTTAATTAAATGAGTGCCTAGAAAAGTTGATAAAATTATGAAATTAAATATTTGTTTAAAGCGAAATCTATACGAAAATAAAGTAACCATCCCAATAAATATTTTTGACGTAATTTTCACCATTAACATTGCCCGTTATTATTTTAATTAAACTTAACAATTATTGATGAAATATTAAAGTAACTTCCAAATATGATTTATTGTGCGATTTTAACCGGATTTGTTTTAAAGTGTAGATCTTGATAAACTGTATTTTTGAAGCAAAAAACGCCATATTTGTACAAAATACAAGGCCTATTATGTAAGTTTCTAAGAGTAATTTTTTTAGAATTCATATTAGCGATTTTTTTTAAACAAAATCTAAGCACGGCACTGGATTCATCACCCCTCAAAACGACCCTATACTGAATTTTATTGAAAAATTTTAAGTAGAAAAAATTCACAATAATAACAACAAAAATTTATTCTGTCAAGTGATTATCAAGAACATAATAATAACAGAATTTCAATAAGCGGTAACCACACCTCTATTTTTAAAGAATGTGTAAAATTATTTTATTTTGGTTTTAGTATACTCACACGAGCTTTTTGACGTAAGTAATATTGCATTTATTACCCACATTTGTAGTGTGGGTTATTGTTTATAGACACTGATCAATAAGTTATTAATAACTGATTACTGAAAATCATACAATTTACTTTACTTTTTGAGTAGGTAAGACAAAAATCACTTCAAGGATTTTTTTCGTTAAACGTGCATATTGTTTCAGTCGAGTTAGTCAATAGGTCTATTTTAAAAATAGTGTTTTGTCTATAAATAAGTATTTGTTTTTAATTGAAACAAAAATAAGTTAAATGTAATGAACAGAAATAAATAAATAAAAGTGGGCATTATTTTTAAGTTGCTCTATTTATATATTTACCTACTTAGATTATTCTATAATTTATTACTCTCAAATATTATTTCTTTTATTTTAAAAACTTTAGGGACTTGCCAATTTTTATTTATTTATAAAAAACGTATAAGTGTATGTAAGAAGCAAATATTATTACCAACTAAAACATTTAAACTAAGAATTATTTTTGGCCCATTATTGCATTGTTAAATTTTCGATAAATTTAAAAATTGGTTAACTTTAGTATTAGTAAAGCACATTTTAAAAATAGCATAGCGTAGCTTTTATTATTACAAAAGCAAATTTTGAACCATCGCCAAACATACACCAAAACATTTTTAGCAATTCAGAAATCCCATTCTTAAATTACAGAAAGTACATGGAACAATTTTGGCAAATTAAAACTGCAAAAATACATAAAATGCTGATTTAAGTTTTAATGTAATCAATGATGTTTAAAAGATTTTAAGACATAGTCCCATTTAATTTTTATTTGTGGAGTGTGACCCATTTGTTGCGACTCACCCCTGTAAAATCTTTATTTATTGTGAGATTTTAACCGGATTTGTTTTAAAGTGTAGATCTTGATAAACTGTATTTTTGGAGCAAAAGACGCCATATTAGTACATAATACAAGGCCTACTATGTCAGTATTTAAATTTCTAAAAATTCATATTAGCGATTTTTTAAACAAAATCTAAGCACGGCACTGGATTCACCACCCCTTAAAACGATTCTTTACTAAATTTTAATGAAAAATTTTAAGTAGAAAAATGCACAATAATAACTACAAAAAGCTATTCTGTTAAGTTATCTATGAAAAAAACATTGAAAAAAATTAAACTTATAGTAATAGTACCATGTTACCATTAGTTTAATTTTTTTTTTATTTTTTTTTTCATGAATAACTTGACAAAATAAATTTTTTGTAGTATTATTGTGCAATTTCTTATTAAAATTTTTTAATAAAATTTAGAATTGCGGTCGTTTACAGGGGTGGTGAATCAAGTGCCGTGCTTGGATTTTGTATAAAAAAATCGCTAATATGAATTCTTAAAAATTTACTCTTAAAACTGACATAGTAGGCCTTGTATTTTGTAAAAATATGGCGTTTTTTGCTTTAAAAATACAGTTTATCAAGACCTACACTTTAAAACAAATCCGGTTAAAATCGCACAAAAAATAAAGATTTTACAGGAGTAAGTCGCAAACAAATGAGTCACACTGTATATGTAAGTGTTATATATTTTTAAGTTCATCTTGAGAAAATCTATTGAACTGTAAAAAATATATTGAAAAAAATGTCTTTTTCTGAACGGCCCTGTATTTTTTTCGAGAAAAAAATAGAACCCACCATTCAAAAAAATCATAAAGAGTAAGGAAAATAAGCGGGACACCCTGTACATACAAGATGTGAGAATTTAAAAAATATTAAAAAAAAAATTTAATAACAAGTAAAAACATAACTGTCAAAAATTTGGTTCGGATTTTTATAAATACTTCATTCGTAAGTCTTGACACGCCTATTATTTAAATACATATACCATCTATTTTATAATTTATCGATTTTCAAACATTTACATAAAAATGTGTTTAAAAACAATTGTATGTATCGTATAATAAAAACATATATCTTGTAATAAAAAAATTACATTTTTTATGTTATTTTTTAAATAAATTTACTAATAACACTAATAGTTACCCTAGAATGTCACATAACCTTTCCTAAATTGAGGCCTGTCAGGCTTTGTTATCTATGGTCAGAGCAAAGTCAACAATCTCCCGTCAGACTAAAACTGAGTAAATTGAGATAATTGATTTTGGTATTTTATATTCTAGATTTGTAATTTATTTTATATATTATATTGAAATATTGTTATTGTTAGTCTAGTAGCCAACTACAAGTCTCCAGGATGCATAGTATAGGTGAAATCTATAATTATAAATTGGAGATTGCTGACTTTGATATGAATTGCTGGAGATTGCTTATTTTGTTGTAAACGTTTAAGGAGATTAAAAAAAATAACAAAAAAAGAATTGTATTTTTTCCTTTAATGGTTATAAAACTTAACAATCAATGTGGGAAAATTCTTAGCTGGACCACATAAATCTGGAGTTTCTTCTAAATCTGGGACCAGGTTGCCTCGTGCAAAAAAGTTTTTATAGCACAACAACTCATCATCTTCTTCCAACTTTGCCCCGTAATGTTTTACTTGCAATGTATTGACATTATCAGCCTTTTCTTGCTTTACCTTTACGTCTTCTTATGGTATAATAGCACAAAATAAACAAGATAACTTTTTTTATAATTCTTAAAACAATAAAACGTATATATACCTATTTTATATATATTTTTAAGTGCAATTTACTGCAATAGAACTTAACAGTATGTACCAGTAAAAAAACACAAAATTAAATCTCTAAAATACGTTATAACATCAAATGTTAGGATATTAGGTGACACAAATTACTAATTTGTAATGGTGGAATTGGAGATTGTATACTTTGCTGCAAATCTATCAGTGGAGATTGTCTACTTTGCACTGAATGTCATTTTTAAAATAGGATTTTAGGCAGGATTTAGCTCCTTTTGCAGCACATAAATTTTATCATCTTATAGATAATTAGTTGAAGTACAGTCTCCGCCAAAAATCTAATTTTTTACCAAAAGTGGAGATTGTCGGTTTTCCTATGACAGGCCTCAATTAGAAAACAATGTTTAATGTCATTATTATAATATAATTATATAATTATTATAATATGTCAATTTTTGTTGAAACCTTTACTACTTCCACAAAAATTATCTAATTTTTTTATGATATACCAACAAAAATACGACTTTACCAATTATACCACTTCTTTTACTGTGAGTGCCAAAATGGTGGAGGCGCCATTTGATGTATTGCAAATTAACAGAAAAACTTATAAATAAACACAGAAACCAGTAAAATATTCTTGACCCAAATGTGGAAAGCATTGGTCTCGAAATATCGAATAAATTTTACAATCTTGGACTATAAAATGTGACCCAATTTTTAGATTACCTACATAACTAACTTTACTTAACTATTTTATATTTTTTCTACTCTCACCCTTAAAACGCCCTTTATCGTACATGTTCCATGACACTAAGTGACCTTTTAAATACACATTGACAAGTTGTGGCTTTACGGCGCTTTAGTCACGGGCTGAAGTTAGTTTTAAGTTAGTTGACAGTTGTCAAATGTCATACAATCGTTAAAATAAAGTGCCTTTCTTGTAAAATAATACTAAATGTGGAAATTATTTTATTATTTCAATACAAAAATACAAAAATATTAAATAGTTTCTCAACGCTAATATTTAAAAAGTTTATATGAACATTGTACTGACTTTTTTTATTTCGCCGGCAGTAAACTATAACTTAAATTCGGGCACGGATTCTACTGTAAAGTCCTCATAAAACATTTCCTTTACTTTCACTGTGAAAAACTGTCAATTTTCAATATACATTTCGATTTATAACCTTTATAATCGTGTTTATAAAATGTAAAAATGTGACATTTGACAGTTTCCCCTGTTGTTTCATAGATGGCGCTCTATACAAATTTTTGATTTAAATCATTTTAAGATAATAAAAAGTATTTGTCGTAGAAAAAGTATAGTATGCACCTCGTTTATAAACTTTTCTATACACTCATTAATTTAAGAACTCGCTCGCAAGCTCGCTCGTGCCTAAATTAAATTCGTATATAAAATGGCGTTTATCAAATGATACATAATATACTATAAAGATGTTGGATTTAAAAAGAGTATGTTTTAATATTATAATATAAATAAATAAAAAATAAAAACGTGTGATTGAATATGCTCCCAAAACATAAAAATAGCTTTATAAATGTTCATAAACTCAAAAACATCCTGTATAACACTAACACAGTGACAAATACATTTTTTTCTCGACTTAATCTCCTTTACATGGTCAGAAATTTTCCTGACAAAAAACAACAATATAATTTTGTGCGCACCGCCCCCGCGTCGTGACGTACCGCCGCCGGGACGCCCAAGACGCCTGCGACGCCCGTCACGACGCAGTCAGTGCCGAACACCGCAGTCGAATACCACGACTCGCTTTAACCAAAACTTAGGTCAGTCAAAAATTAAGTCCAACAAAATCACATTTTAACTCTTATAGCTGTAATATTAAGTGCTCAAGTGGGTTCATTAGTTAAAATAGTCTGTAATTTTTCGGTTTTGTGGTTGTTAGTAAGTATGAGTGGTTTTAAAATCGAAATATCCATGTAGCAAGATTTTATGTAACATTTAGGATCACGTTAAATTTACGAGAATTCATTGTAAAGGTTTATAAAGGATTTAATATGGTTTTAATCGGTATAAAAATGTTTTATAATAGTTATATAACAATAATTATGTGTTTTCAAAGTTTATTTTTGAACCAACAATAATTAACTGTAAAAGAATGTTCTTAAACTACACTTTAAGAATTATATAATACCACCCTTTGCATTTTTAATAGTTTTATACTCAAAACGCTTATTATTATATATGATTTTATTAAATTTGTTTATTGTTGACGTATAATAAACATAATTATGTAATACAAATTGCATAACGTAAATTATACACCGTTTTGCAGCAAAAATTTAGTTTTTATCTTAACTCTCAAGAGCCCGCTGCTGCGACGTTCTTATTTGGTCCTGCGAGCCGGATTTTCGCGTTGCCATGGCAACGGCGATTTTCGAGATAACGAGTTGCGAAAAATTTTCAGAGGCCACCGCCGTCTAATTTTGGGCCGGTGCTATTTTTAAGAGCGGGCGCGCGATTTCAATGTCCTACATTGGTTACGAGAAAAACGAGCTCGACCGAGTTTATTTAAATAATTGGAAGGGAGGGGGGAGATTAGGGGTGGGAAAGGTCAGGGAGTGCGGGAAAATGTTAGGGAAAGTGGAAATTATCTAGGAACGAGGAAGAAATGCCAAAATTTGACATTGTTTGCCATAATGAAGATGTATGGTATGTTGCTAAGGGTAAGGGAGTCAATATAAATGTCAGGGAATATGGAAAAAGTCAGGGAATGTGGAAAAAGCAATCGGCAATGAACAATTGACAAGACTTTATAAAACCAACACATAATTTGACATAATATAAGTATTAAATGTAAGAAGCCAATATAAATGTCAGGGAATGTTGAAACAAGTCGGGGAATGTGCGAAACTGCTACTAATGAAAACAAATTTTAAAATGAAAAAAAAAACAGTAAAAGTTGGAAAAACAAAATCGGGGTTGTGAAATGTGCCGTTTCGCAATAAAAAGCAAATTGGGACATTGCTAGACAATTCGGTTTACCTTGAGCTGCCTACGTAGACGACGAAAATAGCCGATTTGGGACGATGCGAAGTGGTTTAGTATCGAATTCGGTTTCGACTTGTGAAGGAGGGACCGATTTTTCCGAAAATAGCTTGCAGTATTCGATGTACGATGACGTCATCGGACAGAAACAACGAAGCATCTAAACATCACTTGTTGGAATTTTTGGTTTACTTGATTTATTTGTTTGCTTTCATTATGATTGCAGTGTGGATTGCGATTATATGCTAGATACAAACAAACATAGTTGAAAGATCGTAAGGGCCGAATCGATTTTAAAGCCACTTGTGCTTGAGTTTTGAAGGGTTTTTAATTGTTTAATTTTTTTATACTTAGGAACGAACGAACAGTTAGGACCGAGGGAGGAAACCAAATACAAAAATGTCTTTCAAAAGCCACTTAGAAATGATAGGGCTCAACGAGTCGCCAACCAAAAAAGCCAAATTCTGGCAGTCCTTTGTCAGATCCCTAAAAGGTATGTAGAAAACAATTTAAGTATATGTTGTTGTAGTGAAACAGATGTTTTTTCATAAATTTTGGCGATCGATCGAGCAAAATATTTTCAGAATAATCTGGTGTATTTTCAATTCGCGTGGACCTAAAAATACACATTCAAAAATATCCCAGTGACGTTAATTTGGGTATTATGCAAATTTTAAAAATAAATTCAAACTTTCACCAACACATTCATTTTGAACAGTACCCACATAACACAAAAATATATTTAAAATATTGAATAAATATTTTTGCTATATTGAATAAATATTTTTGGGTCAATATATCCCCCAAGTGAACATTATTTTTTATTTTTGGTTGTTTCACTATAAGTCTAGAATGGGGTTTTTTGGAAGCCACCAGGTCTAGTAATAACATAACATAAGTGGTTCTGCACTAATGCAAGAATTTTAAGAAATCATACATTTTGAATATTAGAGCTTCACGGAGGTTAGGATTTCGTATGTTTTTTTAAACATCCCTTTGTTTTAATTAATGAACTTACACTTTTGAATTATAAAACAGCAACACTCTCATCTGCATATAAATTCTAACTGACCTTCAAAAAACACATGCATCTATAATTTCGTAAACAGAGGTTTTTTCTTATTTAAAATGATTAAAGCTCAATCCGTTGCATACAATTTAAAGCAAAAACAGATTCACGGAGGATAGAATCAATATTTGTAACACCTACATAAATGGTTATAAAAATTATTTATTTTAATTTTTAATAATATTTTATATTTTTAGTATGCTTTTACTACCTCAGATATTTGAAAACATATAGGTTAACCTAGAAAGAGTAACAGTCACGGAGGATAGGGTTTAGACTTTTAAAACTTTAATTGCTGTTAAAAATCTGGAACCTGAGCTGTAATATCTACTTAATTATGAAATATCAAAACACAATAAAAATGTAGGTCAAACTAATTTATTTTTATTAAATATTACGGAGTAACCCCATCGGGGGACATTTCGTGAGATTCACCCTTTTGGTAAATATATGTAATTTTTAGAAGTATTAGTCATCTTTTAAATGCTTCTAAAATGTTTTACAACATTTAGTTGTCCCACTTTTTATATTTATACAATATTTCTTCACAACATTTTTGAAAATGGAATGGTATTCTCATATCAGATATATGTACTAAAACAGTGGAATACCATACTGGAGATCTATTTTTTGCACGCAAAGAAAACTTAGTGCACGTCTTAATAAAAAAGTTAATTTTATAAATAATCGATATAAATAAAACAAAAATTCTTTGAAAAAAATCACAGAAATAGAAGAATATTTTTCTTTCTACAGTCTTGGTTTTTCTTTTTAAGTTTATTTTACTTTGTTTGTTTTTAAAAATTAAAAAAACATTTTTGGTTTTCTAAGCAACTTTATTAGGTTTATGTTATTTATGAAAGTTAACGCGTAACAGTTATAAAAATATTTTCCCTGTTTCCATGTTCGTACAACATTTCATCAACCTTTCATTTGAGGTCATAGCAAAACCGACAATCTCCACTTTTGGTCAAAAATTAGATTTTTGGCGGAGACTATACTTCAACTAATTATCTATAAGATGATAAAGTTTATGTGCTGCAAAAGGAGCTAAATCCTGCCTAAAATCCTATTTTAAAAATAACATTTAGTGCAAAGTCGACAATCTCCACTGATAGATTTGCAGCAAAGTATACAATCTCCAATTCCACCATTAGAAATTAGTAATTTGTATCACCTGATATCCCAACATTTGATGTTATAACGTATTTTAGAGATTTAATTTTGTGTTTTTTTACTGGTATACATACTGTTAAGTTCTATTGCAGTAAATGGAACTTAAAAATATATTGAAAATAGGTATATATAAGTTTTATTGTTTTAAGAATTATAAAAAAAATTATCTTGTTTATTTTGTGCTATTATACTATAACAAATCGTAAAGGTAAACCAAGAATAGGCTGATAATGTCAAAACATTGCAAGTAAAACATTACGGGGCAAAGTGGAAAGGAGGTGATGAGTTGTTGTACTATAAAAAAAATTTTTCACGAGGCAACCTGGTCCCAGATTTAGAAGAAACTCCAGATTTATGTGGTCCAGTTCAGAATTTTCCCACATTGATTGTATAGTTAAATTTTATAACCATTAAAGGGAGAAAAGTACAATTATTTTTTTGTTTATTTTTATAAATCTCCTTAAACGTTTACAACAAAATGAGAAATCTCCAGCAATTCATATCAAAGTCAGCAATCTCCAATTTATAATTATAGATTTCACCTATACTATGCATCCTGGAGACTAACAACAACAATATTTCAATATAATATATAAAAAATTAGAATTTAAAATACCAAAATCAATTATCTCAATTAACTCAGTTTTAGTCTGAAGGAAGATTGTTGACTCATTTATAAAAATTGTTCTCCAAATGGCCCGACAACATTTCTAAAACATATTGTGTTATGTGGGTAATTCAATCAATGTAACATTCGAATCATTTTAAATGTGCAGAATATTGCCCACTAAAGGGTATTTCCATTGTAACGGGTGCGACACTGACACTGCTTTTTTCCAATCAGATTTCAGAAAACGATTGGTTTTTTCGGTTTTCATTAGAAATGCACAAAATAAGCAATAAAAGGATAAGGTCCGGACTAAAAGCAAAAACGTTCGTTTTAGGATCGGATGACATCAGGGCCACCGACCCGGTGCACAGCCGCCCACGCGGCGTGTTCCGCCCCCTCAGCGACATCCCCGAGCTCTCGTCCAGCTACCCGTGGGGCAAGTCTATCTACGACGACCCCAGCGCCGCCGCTGAACGCATCCACGGAGCCGGCTACAGATACGACCCCGTGCACAGGGACATCTACGGATACTCCCCGCGTCCGATCTACCCCCACAACTACGGATCTTTGGACAGATACAGGCCCGGTAAGTCGTCCTCGTCCACCCCTTCATCCAGACGCTAATGCTACTGGACAACATCTTCATTTGGAGACGGAATTCGTTGTTGGGGATTATATAGGAGGTAATCGGGTGGACATGGGCAGATAGATCTCACCGATGTGTACTTAACTATCCGCTATATAAACCCTGGCAGCCGAGATAACAATACATCCCACCCGGGTCAACAGGGGGGCTATGTAAAGCCAAGTGAAATTATTGAATTCTTTGACCTGGTGGACACCGTCTTCAGAGGAAATCGCTAAAATCATCCCCCAGGTCGTCTTCGGTTGTAATCAATAAGTGCCTTATGAACGTTTCTAAATAGCTTTTGGCCTCTTAAATGCCCGTGTCACATTTACTTTATATTTGTTCTGTGTATACTATTTGATAATGTTGTTTGATTAATAAATATATATTTCAACAATTCTCAGTGTGCAACGCCCCGCATATGCTTGAGCTCCATAAATTCAAATCAATAATAACATACACTAAGTTTTAAGAATATTTAAATAAAATTTTACCTTAATTTATCTTCATTAACTATTAACTAACACTAACAACTAATCCTAGTTATCTTAATACAAAATTTTGCTTTCAAACAGCAAGCTTTTAACCTGCTATGCTCCAGCATTTGCCAGGGCGATCACCATGTTTTTGTTAAAACCCTTTACTTTTTTTTATAAAATAAGTGAAAATAACTGCAAGATTTTTGGATCGCCTTTGGTAGGTAAGCATTAGAACCCTTTAGCTAGCACTAACACAAATTAATAGCCAAATGCCAAAACAAAGACCGATAGATTCTAAATATAATATCCTCAAATGATTGAAAGTGTATTTTCCTTTTACAAATGTCATAGATGCTATTTTTGGATTTATGTTAATTTTAACTATTTTTTATGATAGGAGGTGAATATTAGACTGGGCCAAAAAAATTGACTATTTTTTTTTTGAAAAATATATCGAGAATGTCATTCAGAATGACAAAAAAAATTTCGTGAAAATTTGAGCCCTTAATATTAATTTTAAGAGGTCTATCATCACTATTTTTGATTTTTAGTCATAATTTGATGTTTTACGTTAGAACTGTTAATACATTAAAGTGAAAAAAAATCCTGTTCGCTTATTTTTATATAAGATTAAATTCTCTACAAAAAAGGTCTGATTAAAAATTTTCGTCAGACGAGCCGTTTCCGAGTAATTAAGCTTAATAAATCGATGTGTTTTTTCGATTTGCCCTTTTTACTTTGAAATTTTGTAACTAATGAATCAATGAATATTTTAAAAAGCTTACGTGGGATTCTTAAAAGAAATTTAATGTTCTACAAAAAAGGTCTCTTAACATTTTTGCCTAAATTTAATTTTTCATTTTTAAATATTCATTGATTCATTAGTTACAAAATTTCAAAGGAAAAAGGGCAAATCGAAAAAACACATCGATTTATTAAGCTCAATTACTCGGAAACGGCTCGTCTGACGAAAATTTTCAATCAGACCTTTTTTGTAGAGAATTTAATTTTATATAAAAATAACTAAAAAGGATTTTTTTTCATTTAAATGTTTTGACAGTTCTAACGTAAAACATCATATTATGACTAAAAATAAAAAACAGCGATGATAGACCTCTTAAAATTAATATTAAGGGCTCAAATTTTCACGAAATTTTTTTTTTGTCATTCTGAATGACATTCTCGATATATTTTTCAAAAAAAAATAGTCAATTTTTTTGGCCCAGTCTAGTGAATATATTAATAAAACAAAATTTGTAGAAACAATTGAAAACAACGAATTATTTGTTTTTCCTTAGTGTACCACAACTCAACTCCAAGGGTCAAGCCATTCGATGCTGACGCCGCCTGGAGGGACCACATGGACCGGGTCAAGGGGCGCGCTCCAGAACAACAGAGCAGCATTTTCAACACCACCTATCCATTCTCCCGTTACCCTCTCTACTTGGTCTACAGCAAAAGACCCTCTGCGGCCAGCGAAAAATACGACCCCCATCGCTCCTGGTTGGACCATTTGGACCGTCTTTCCGGACTCGACTCCTTATGGCCATCCCTTAGCAGCAAATTGTCTCCAACACCAATCAAGGTCTGTGCAACAGTTTTTAGTTACATCTCGCTCATGTCATCTAAGATTCGCGCAATATAAGACAAGGTTTCATCTGTGCAACAGTTTTTAGTTACATCTCGCTCATGTCAACTGAGATTCGCGCAATATAAGACAAGGTTTCATCTTGTAAGACGTAAGAAAACTAAAACAATTTTTTTTATTCTCCAGGCTGGTCCATGGGCCCCCCGTCCATCCGAAGTGGCCTTCAACTACGCCGGTCAACCAATCTACACCCGCGGAGGCTTGTTCCCAAGTAAGAGCATTTACCGTGACCTATTGGACCCCCCCGCGTCCCTCCCAATTTCCGCGGTGACTCGCGATCCCTTCTGGTGGTCATCCCCCGTCCTCAAACCCATTAGATCCTTCTCCCCATGGGGAAGATCCCCCTCCTATTTGAGAGACTCCTACCTTTCCCCAGTCAAGAGGACGTATCTGTGGGACAAACACCCTGCCAGGCCTTTTGGTAAGTCCTCAAGTGAACCCTGATATCCCCAATATCCTTTTTTACCAGGCTTGTTTTCTATCTCATCTTTCACTGGTTATATCTTGAGCTGAAACCTACAATTTGGCATGGGGTTGAACACAGCATTCTAAAATTGTAGATTTATAGCTTGATTGGTTTTTGAGATATAAATCATCTATATTTGTTGAGCTAGAATGGCGATTTAAAAATACAAAAATACAAAATTACAAAATTTTTGCTTTATATCTCAATACATATAAACAAAAATGTTGAGGTCAGAAAACAAACCGGATCATTCCAGTTTTATTACGTAAATTATATTTATATAAACTAGAAAAATATTTAAAATCATTTTGGTACACTGCCAATTGGCAGCAGCGAAGCTTAAGCTTGTTAAATTTCGATAATATTTATGTTTTGCATTATTTTTTAAAAATTGAATATTTTTTCGAGCTTGGTTTTACAAAATTAAAACATTTTTCCTAAAAAGCCCCATTCACCCCACCTATATCGACGTACCCCAAAAAAACATTGAATAAGGACAGCGCCAATTTGGTAAATTTTTTTAAATATTTTTTTTATAAAATATTTTTTTTATTTTTTTAATTCTTGGCATGCCCCTCTTTTGTTTGTAGAATGCTATATAGGTTGTTTAATTGTGTAAATTTTTGTATAATTAAATTAACACCCTGTATATGCAAAAACCTTTTCTGTACTTTATTAGATTAGATGTTCTTGACTTTTGCTGTCCCTGTACATTAAAAATACATATATTACATTGTCATGCAATGTTTGTATTTTGTGATTTTTCTTTTTTTCCATACTTTTCTCTTTTGTGAATGATCCTTATTTTTTCTTTAAATTGTTAATTTAATTTGTGTTTTTTACTTTTAGCTGCCGTTTACTAAGTACCAAAACTGATGACAGGATATCTCGCTAAATTCAGATACTTAATGCGACTGACTGAACCTCAACAGTGCTGCCAAAATAATAAACCAATATTATTTTGGTGAAGTGTTCATATACCTATTATTTAAAAAAATTAAATTATTATTCTCAAAAAAATTATACATCAAGTGCCTTAAATTATACAACATAAAAAGAACGTTACAAAAAATCCCGATAGGTGGCGTAACAGCTCTAAAGCGTGTCTCCCCATTCCAACAAATCAACTTTTCGAAATGCCATTTATGGGATAAAACATCAAAATTTTGAATTTGGCATGCTAAAATTTTTAAAAATAAAAAATATAACACCACAAGTGACTATTATTTTACACAGTACCTGCCTAGAATTTAGTTTAGTATAAAAAATAACTATAATAAAAAAATAAAATAAAACCTGCTAAAAGAAATGTTAAACTTTCTAGATTTTAATTCTTTACAACACAAATTAATAATTCTGCATGAATTTGAAATTCATTAAAAAAATAATAAAGGAATCATTATTTTTGTGGTATTAAACTTCCTGCATCCTCTACAAATTTTAACAAAATTTTTAAACATTAATCTTGATTCTGAACAAATTTTAATTTTATTGGATCAGTAGCGGCGATTTTATACTGGTTTAAATAGAAAAAATCGTGTAAAAGAAGATACAAAATTACATTATTTTGTAAATTATTTACTGCAAATTTTAATACAAGTTTTTAATTACATTTAAAATATAGTTTAATTCTACATAACCAAGATAACCAGTATATTTTCGCGGCCACTGATTCAATAAAATAAAAAAAATTTCAAAATTTTTTGTTTTTAAAATAACATTTTAATACATTTTCACCGTTTACGTGAAGGATTTAAAAAATAAAATAAAAACAAATACATATTAATATTTAGTTTGAATCGATTATAGCAATTAATAATTTAATGATAATTCATTTAATTAAAATTAATAGTAGGAAAATACATTGACGATATATTTTTTATAAAATAATGGGGTCATTATTTTGTTTACATTTATATAGGCACCAATAGAAAATAATATACATTTAGTACATTTGAAGCATCCATAAAGTAAAATGCATTTTATAATTGTAAGTAAAATTGTGTCCGTATTAATTAATTTTTCTGTGAGCATTTTTTTTTAGAAAACCATAGTTTTGATTGCCTTAGTGGCAATGGTTTTGTCTAAGCCAAATCCAGACCCAAATTTTGTAAGTGTGCCCTTAATTTTAATTTTTTTTAAACATGTTGTGCATCTTAATTATTTTATTCCAATGACGTACATCTTTTTTGATTCGTTCTTTAACTTTTGTGGGAAGGTATTTAAAGAAACAATTCTATACTCAATAGAAAAGTTCACCACATTGAGGAGGAAAGCTTCAAGACCAAAATAAGCTAATAATAATTATAATGTTTTTTTAAGGTGGCAACATGGGGCTGGCCTTGGGGTTTTGGAATATCTTACCCATCTTATTATCCTTCTTTTTACCTTGGAGGCAGAATTGTATGGTAATATTTTGTTAAAAAACAAAAATAAAACCCATTAATAAACAAATATTTTTTTTTATTTCTTTAATACATCAATAAAAGTATCTCTAGGCAGTGAAATATTCGCAACCATACGCATTTTCTTTTTACCAGCTGCCTGTTGAGCCAACAGCTTCATTCTCCTAGTCACATCCCCACCATACTAAAAAATCATGCAGGCATACCAACACAAAAAATTAAAACGTCGCAATCTTACCAGTTTAGCCGTCACATCTTTCCTAAACGCCTTTATATTCTCTCTAGCTAAAACTTTTCCATTAACAGCAGCTTGAACCGCTATATGAACCATTTGTCTTGGTATTATATCCCTTAACCTCAAAACCATTTGCCTACCAACCGTCTGTGCTTTAGTGATATGAACAATGGCACTAAGTTCGTCTACAGCGTTGCCATTCAGTAAAATACTCAACTAAAAGAAAACTGTCAAAAATCTATATCCATAAAAACAAATCAGTCACTTTGACAGCTGTCACTGACCTTGACAAGATTGCTAGGTTTGTAGCCGTGATCCTCGTAATCAAAGCTGGCGTACCCACTTGATAACGTTTTGAGGGTGTCGTGAAAATCAACGACGATTTCACATAAAGGTAACTCGTATTGTAACATAACACGTTCGTTGTCAATGTTGGTGGCGTTTTTCTGAACCCCTCGACGTTCCATGCACATGGAAATTATGGGGCCCATATATTTGTCGGGGGTTATTATTGTCCCTGTGAAAGAACGATTTTTAAAAATGCGCCGCTTTGTATTTTCGCGTGTAAATTTTTTATGCGTGATGATGCGAAGAAATGGTTTGGTTTTTTTAGAAAGCAAATTTTTTTGAGAACACCCTAAAAATCTCATCAGAAAATGTCGATTTTTGTTGAAGTTACGACCTTTAGAGTCGACTTAATTTTTTTAAAACTTTGCAATAACAAGGTTTATTTTTTAAATATTTCAAGGGTATACCAACAAAAATACGATTTTTTTATAAAGTGCAATTTAAAGAGCAAACGTTATTAAGTATTTAAAAAAAATCATTAAAATCTTGGACTTCTTGTAGGACATTTTTAGAAGAAACCTGCAAATAAATGACTTCAACTTTAAAGCTCTGTAACATTTACGAAAATTATCCAATTTGAACAAAATTTTCAGGATATATCAACAAAAATACGCTCTATAAAACCAAGTAAAATTCCTAACCTAAAACTATCGGTTCCAACGTTTCCTCGATGGTCAAATGATCGGGAAACAACGCCGGGTTGTTAACGTAAATATAATCTGTACCGTCCTTTAAATTTTGTTTGGTGGGTTTCAATTTGAGTTTGTAGGTGACAGAGGGCGCTGTTATAATGGCGTCCATCGCGTACTCTTGTTCGAGGCGCTGAGAAAACACTTCCATGTGCAGTAAGCCTAGGAAACCCAGTCTCCAACCTAAACCCAGTGCTGGGCTGAAAATGTGTCGTTTACGTTTTGTCCAAGGTTGCACTCAAAGTTAGTAAAAATACCTTGTACCAACGTCCACTGTGACAGCAGAGTCGTTCAAAGTCAATTTTTCGATAGCGCTCCGTAAATTGACGTGTTGGGACTGATCCATGGGGTAAATACCGGCAAACACCATGGGTCTTGCCGGTGTAAAACCTTGCAGTGGTTCTATAACATCATTTGAGTTGTGCAGTGTGTCTCCTATTAATGCTTCTTTGCTAGAACGCATGTTGCACCCCACTAAACCTATCTGACCAGCTACACTGAAAATAAAAGGTTACAACATTTGCTACCCTTTTTTTGCAGTGTATATTTAATATTCAAGTATGAGAGAAGGTGGTACTATGGCCTTTCTAGCAGCGACATCTATACGTATAAATTAAAACTATGTTAATAGAAATAACACTGGCCTGCAAAAAAAAAATTTTTCTCCTCATTTTCATACATGATAACATTATATTTGGTGCTCTAAACGCGGAATTTAACATGCAAATGAATACAGCACATATATTTTAAATATTATGTCCATTTAACAAAAAAGTGAAAAAATACTATGGCTTAAGTTTTACATATAAAATACTTAATAAAAATATATAGAATATATTCTTGGCACAAAACTTACCAAAATATTGCTGTAGTCACAGGAAATACTGCGCAAGCGCATATGTACTACCACAAAAAAAAGTATATCGAAAATATGGTTTGGGGTGACAAAAAAAAATTATTGTGAAAGTCCATAATATTAATATTAAGAGGTCTATCATCGCAATTATAATTTTTTTTCTTCAGCAAGTTTTTGTCTCAGAACTCCCAAACCATTGAGTTTAACAAAATTGACTCGAAAATATTTTTTTAAGAAAATTAAATGCTCTTCAAAAAAGGTTAAAGTGAAATTTTCCGTCAGATGAACCGTTTCCTTAAAATCATGCCTTAAAAATTGGTATAGTTTTACATTTTGATATTTTAAATTGGAATTTTGTAATTCATGTAAAAATCAGTACCCATATAAAACCGATAAATATTCTTATTGGAAATCAAATGCTTTACAAAAAAAGCCTATCAACATTTACTCAATCAAAAGTTAAATGGTAGAGCAGGGGATAATTTTTTATCCATCTGAACTTTTTTTTTCAGGGTACTGATTTTTACATGAATTACAAAATTCCAAAGTTAAAAGATCAAATTGTAAAACTATACCAATTTTTAAGGCATGATTGTAAGAAAACGGTTCATCTCACGAGAAATTCCAATACAACCTTTTTTGTAGAGCATTCAATTTTCTTTAAAAAATATTCTTAAGTCAATTTTGTTAAACTCAATGATTTGAGAGTTCTGAGACAAAAACTCGCTCAGGAAAAAAAAAATCTAAAATTGCGATGAAACCTCTTAACATATTAATATTATGAACTCAAACTTTCACCATAATTTTTTTTGTCACCCCAAACAATATTTTCGATATACTTTACAAAAAAAAAATAGTTGATTTTTTTGGCCCACTGTTTATAATGTTTACGCATAAAACGAATTTAAAAAAAAATATTTTTTTTTTTATAAATGGTAACCATAATACCCCCTTCTTTACTATTTTTGTCCACCTTACAGTCTTTCCACTGGAACTTCCTGTGGTCTGAGTAGAGATAGGGTTTTTATTTCAAATGACTTTTTGTTGTGATATGAAGTTATAGTATCCCCCACTTTGACATTGCCATCTTGCACATAAACTAGGGATAAAACTCCTCGATATTTATCAAAAGAACTGTCAAATATTAACCCTCTAAAAGGGGCTGTTCTATTCACAATAGGTATAGGTACCCTTTTTACTACAGCTTTCAGAACTGAGTCTATGTTTTTGCCTAATTTTGCACTAATCTACAAATAAGATAATTCTAAAATAATCATCTAAATGCAAATAAAATAATAGGTACCTTTATTACTTCAGAGGGATCTATATCAAACAAGGACTGCAACTGTTTGCAAACCCTCTCAGGATCAGCATTTTTCAAATCAATTTTATTCAAAACTGGTATAATAACTAAATCATTACCGAAAGCTAAATAAAAATTTGCTACAGTTTGAGCCTGTACCCCATCATTGGCATCTACCAATAAAATAACCCCCTGACAAGCTGATAAAGACCTTGAAACTTCATTTGAAAAATCTACATGTCCCGGTGTATCAATTAAATTTAACAAATAATCTTCACCATCCACATTATACAACAAAGATGCGGTTTGGGCTTTAACAGTGATTCCACGTTCTCTCTCAACCTGTAGCTTATCTAAAACCTGATTATTTCCTGAGTTTTCTTTTATGGCCCCCGTAAATTCCAACAAGCGGTCAGCTAGAGTACTTTTTCCATGATCTACATGCGCTATAATGCTGAAATTTCTTATACGTTCCACAGGGATTTTAGCGAAATCAGTTGTGTTGTTAGTCTTTTCATTTTGGGAGCTGTATTTTTGTAACCTCACATTAAATAAAAGTCTAAAAAAAGTTATTATAGTTAATATTGACAATTTTATGTTATTTACCTGGAGTACGAATTTACGCTTAAAATATTGTCTTTGAGGGTTTTAACTAGTCTACATTTTATTCTTATCATATTTCTTGAAGTTTTTAAGTTTTAACCATTTTGAGGTTAGAGAAGTGTCATAATTAAAAGTTAGCAGGGCTTCCACAAAGTACACCAGAGACCCTTGTCTCTGAAGTACACCATTTGAACACCACATGCATGCATTTAGGGTTTCCATTATTAAATAATGATAATTTCCCAATTTGGCTTAGATTAGGCTACTTGTTTACAGTCTAAAAATAATTTAAAAAAAATGTGGATGCTTTAAATTTAGGAAAAAACGTAACCAACTATTTTTGTAAAGCGTAAAAGTTAACAAACAAAATTTTACTTGGCATTTTTACAATGCAATCCAGGTGTAAAAAAATATAAAATAATGTATTAACTTATTTATTTTATTTATTTTTAAGGGACAGCAAATCTCAATGCATATATTTCACTTTCTAAAGGTACGATCAAATATTTAAATGTATCCGTAGCGAACTTCGCAGGTATTTTCAATTATTTATAAAAGATAATTAAAGCGTTTAAATAAACTATATTAACCGATAAGCATGTTTAGTAGCTTTCTTAATCGTAATTTGTCATTAATTCCAATATTAATTGGTGCAAAAGATTAAATAATTCAATTGCTAATTATCCTGAGAAGAAGAAGAATGTTGCCTTCCCGTTAAAATCAACCTACTTAAAATGTAGCGGTTTAATCTCTAAAAAAAGCGTATTCAAAAGCGAAAATTGTGTGATTTATTGTGTAAACGATGTAGTTAATAAGCGCGATGTGTAATAAGAGTAATAAAACTGATAAATCAGTGATTTTCGCGGTGGATTTCGTGAACAAAGAAGTTTGCAAAATGGAGAAGGAATTAGATATTAAAGTGCAAGTGCAGGAAGATCAACTTTTGGGTTCGGTTACCACCTACAATAACTGCGAGGGGAGTGATATTAAGAGCCAGCAAATTCGGAGCAGTGCTAGAGTTTACAAAAAAATGAGATTGGATAATGCCACTCCAGTCATAGAGAAAATAGAGAAGAAAGAGGATGTGAAACAGGATAATAAGAAGTGTTATAGACCTCTATGGACCTCGGATGACAAGGATATATTTTTTGAGGCTCTTTATGAATACGGTAAAGATTTTGAAAGCATTCAAACGCATATTAGCACGAAATTACGCAAAAAAGGTGTCCCAGAACATTTAATTAAAACCAAGGACCAAATTCGTCACCTGTACTACAGAACCTGGCATAAAATCTCAAAATACCTCAAATTCACCGAAGGAATAAAAAAAGTTGTACAAGAATTGTATGGATTAATCAACTATGGAGAATTACGTAAAAGAATAGGCTCTGTAAGTGGTAAAACCTGTATGAAACTCAACGAATTAATTTACAGCGGTTCCATAGTGCACAGAATTAAAGGTAAAAACATCAGAATTAAAACTCCTATGTGTAGAGCATTACGGCGTCTAAATCAACTTGATGAAAGATTTGATGAAATAATTCTCCCCAATAGAGTAACCGTCGAGTTAAAACCAAAAGACATGTCTTCATTTCTACGAGTACAAGTGGCAGCTCAAAACCCTCGTCTCAAAGCAGTGCTACCACTACAAAAACGACTATCCAGCATCATATCATGTATGAATAAACGATGGAAAACACTAGATGCTAATTTATACGATAAATCCGTAATTTCCAGCAATGTGGTCACAAATGACTGCATACCAAGTAAAGAAATCATTGAAGAAAACAAAAAAATCATCAATCCTTCAGTGAGATTATCGCCGCCTACTGGATGTCAAATAGAGCTGCCCTCTATCAATCTGAGCGAGTACTATACGCGTCAAAGCATTTGCTTGGCGTCTTTTGAAAATCGTTTGGGGTTTAAAACAGAGGATCATTACAAGAAAACGTCGAAGAAATCGTACAGGCAGAGATCTGAAAGTATAAGCGACAAATCGCCGCTAAAAATCGAAGAAAATACTGAAACCTCGCAGGAGAGCGATCCGAATATTGTCAATAAGGTTGTCGATGATGCGGTTAATACTATTTTGGCTTTGCAAAAGCCTGAGCAAGAGGTTAAAAAGGAGCTTAATGTTGATGATGATGCTGAGGTGAACCAAAACAAATCAAAAATTGAGGGAATTAAAAACGGTTGGACGGAAGAAATTTGCGGTACTTTGAGTATAGGGGAGGTTTATCTGATGTTTGGGCACGACTCTAAATTAATTTTGGAGTATAGTTGGGACGATAAACCAATAAAAACCGAGGAAAACAAGGACCCCAAAGAACCGTACAATCCAGAACTGAGCGTCTCATTGAATAAACTGCTCTCGGTCGCTAAAATGCATTATCGCAAAAACATCATAAAATGCCCTTGCGGGCACGTCTGCGGATCCAAAACATCACTAAAACGCGCCATGGAGTCAAAATTCCGTAAAATGCTCACAGATATCGACAAATGTACTGAAGAAACAGAATCTGAAGACACCGAGGTGGAGACGTTTGCGCCCCCTACTAACTTTCCAGCAACTAAATACCACGCCATAACGCCTGCGCAGTATTACCAACCTAACCCGCCCATGGTGCATTTACTAACCCAATTAAAACCCAAGTACGGTAACAAACGAGGTAAAACGCCCAGATCAAAGCAGGTTGTAGTCGAAAGAAAGTTGCCTTTACTGCCTAATAACGTGGAATCCGGGCATCAAATTGTAAGAATGAATATTATTTCTCAGGAAAATAATACCATCAAAGATGATGCAACCACTACTAGCACCACGGTTTATAACAGTGTCAATTTGACAAATTCAGAGACTCAATTCACCACTACATTGAACACCATAGAATTATCCACATTCTCCAGTGGAAATAATAATCTAGTTACCAAGGACAACATACTACAACCAACTGTCGAAACTCAAAACGTCATTGTAGACAGCGCCCTCTCTATAACCTCAAGCCCATCCAGGCTTTTGACAGACAACGACAACCAATGGATCAACTCTGAAGTTGCCGATTACTCCCTTAGCAGCCTACTGGGTAATTTAGAGTCCCCAATGAAATCCAACCTCACCAACGAAGACTCAAGAATGTCTGAAGATGTAGATGCTCAGTTGAGATCCCTGCTGACTGAATCGAGCCTCGATTTTTCTGCCAATTTTGCGGATCTGGCGGCGCAAGTAAACGAGGCTAAAAAATAAGTGCCAACGATTTTTTTTTTGTTAATTTGTCTATTTAATGGAACTTTTTTAATAAACATTTATCCCAGTACGTATTTTTGTTCCAATTTGAATTTCCCGCCCTTGAAATCGATTACAAACAGAAACTTATAGGATTTTGTTCCAATGAGAGGCGACGTTGCCAGATTCACAATGTTTCCAAAGAATGCCGCTGCATTTTACTGTTTTATGTACAATTTAGATGGATTTGTAAGTTCTAATTGTTATATTTTTTAATATTTTGGATTTTGTTAGTAATTTTTACAATAAAAAAACAATTTTAAGGGGTATTTGAAGTTTTGAATGTTGTTTGTGAGAAGCCGCCAAAAGTACTTTAGCAACACTGTGTAAAGGTTGTTGATTTGTGGCTTCGGTTTTGGCGTTATTTAGAGAAAGAATTTATAAACAAAACGCTATCGATATCGTTGTGAAAATGTTGTGAGTTGCGATCGAAACAATTAAAACGTATTAAACTAATGTTTTGGCTACGCCGCACTAAAAAATGGAAGTAAACGAATCAGAACTAACCTCAAACATGGGCAATGTACTGTCAACGTCCAGTGAAAAAAACGAAACCGTAGATTCTACTCCTACATCTTCAACTGATGCTTTTACTAAGAACGAAGAAAATACAACAGGTAGTGTTTAAAATGTTATAACGTTGTAATGAATAAAGTTATGAAAAAATGTCACTTTAGTTGCCAAACAAAAAGTGACAATAAACAAATTCAAACAATTTGTAGTTTTTTAAACAAAAAGTGACATTACAGAACTTGGTTCTTCTAAGTTACAGACGTAGATCTAGGGTTACAGAACAAACAATTAATATTTTTTTAAGTAGTGCTACTGCTTAAAAACATTTAAAAAAATTATTTTACTGTATTTAAGCTATTTAAACAGGAAATGGCCAATTATAACAATAATGTACATAAAAGCTATAAAACGCATTCTGAACTGTATTAATCATTAATTAATATACTATTTTTACAATAATTTGCATTATTTTATACAGGGAAAACTGTATTTATGTAAAAATTTAAAAAATATTGTATTACTTAACAAGGAATTATACTCAAATATCATTACATTAATAAAAAACATTTTTGTAGTTTCTGATGATCCAATCAGTAGCACGTCCTCCGAAGTAAAAGAAGCCCCTAAAATTAAAGACCCCACCCCTTCAAAAACTTCTACCATGGACCCTGATGCAGACATGTTGGGCATGGAAAAAGGCACAGGGGAAAAAATCACTGAAGATGTTGAAGATCTTGTCCATGACCTTGAGAGTCTTCTGGGTGAATCGACTGATTCATTCAACATCTCAAATATTAGAAAAAAGAATAATTTGGTTAAAACGGCTGCAATGGATGATGATTTAATGAAAGATATTGAAGCTGAACTTCAGGGGACTTTGGAGAGTAAAGAAGAAAGTATGGAAGTGACAGCAGGTAAAATAAAATATTTATAATTTTGTTTAAATGTTTGCAATATTTGTTTCAGAACCTGTAAAAGGAACAGAAGTCATCACAATGGATGAACCAGATAGAGTAACAAACATAACCTCAGAATTACCTCAAAAAATAGAAGAACTCCCTGTCAAAACACCTGAAATTTCTGAGGAACCTGCTTCTAAAAAAGAAGAAAATACAAATAAAGTTCATGATGAATCTTCCACTAAAGAAGAAGAAGAATCAAAGGAGGAAGACCCCATTACAACAAAAATTGAAGAAGAGGTTCAAAAACAAGTTTCTTCAAAAACAGAAGGTGATACTGAAACAGTTGATTCCAAAAAAGAAGAAACTGTCGAAGAACCTGACAGTCAACAGGAAATGCCCAACAAAGAAGATAATAAAGAAAAAATGGACACCACTGAAGAAACCGACGTTTCTGAAAATTCTTCCGAGAATTTGGCAAAAGAGGTGTTTGAAATCACTGAACTTGTTGAAGAAATTAAGGATGTTGAACCCATAGTTGAAGAAATTAAGGATGTTGAACCCATAGTTGAAGAACCAGCTGAAGAAGAATCACCAAAACAAGAGGAAATTGAAGAAATTGTTCCAATTGAAGAATCAGCTACCAGTTGTACAGAGGTAGCAGAAAAAGAAGAAGAGGGGTTTAAAATTGAAGAAATCATCCAAGAAAAAGAAAAAACGGTTGCTACCTCTACAATAATTGAAGAAGAAGAGAATACAGAGACCACTATAATTGAAGAAGATTATAAAGAAAAGGTTTCAGAGCCCACAATAATTGAAAAAGATGAAGAGGTTTCAGAACCCACAATAACTGAAGAAGAAGAAGCAAAGGAAGAGGAGCATGTTACTCTTGAAAAAGACAAAAAAGAAATTAAAATTTCTTCGGAAGTTGAAGAAATGGAGGTTTTAGAAGAACCATTAGAGAATAAAGTTGAAGAAAGTTTGACCAAAGATTCTGAAGTTATCAAAGAACCAATGGAAGATAAAGAAACTGAAGCTGAAAAGCCAGTTGAAGCTATGGAAACTGAAGATATTGCTGAAGAACCTTTGGTTAAAACAGAAGAAACTTCAGTTGAAACAAACGTGGAAGAAATTGTTCAAGAACAGTCCAAGATTGAAGAAGAGAAAGAATATGTAGAAGAAATTATTGATGAATCTCAAGAAATGGAAGAAATTGCAGAACCTTCACAGATTGTTGAAGAAAGTACACAAATTAAAGAAACGCCAGTTGCTATTGAAGAAACTGCTGTAGAATCTTCAAAAGAAGTAGACATGGAAGAAAAACCTATTAAAGATCAAGTAGATCAAGTAGAAGTGGAAGAAAAACCTATTGAAGACCAAGTAGTAATGGAGAAAAATTATGAAGAAGCAATGGATGTTCAAGAAGACTCTTCCATTGTAAAAGAAGTGGTTCAAGAAGTTTTAGAAGAACAAAAAGAAGAAATTATCAATGAAAAACCTATTAAAGAAACGAAATCTGCAATTGAAGAAGAAGTTTGTGAAATTCAAGAGGAAAAATCTGCCATTGAAGAAAATAAGGTTGTTATTGAAGAAACAGAAATTAAGGAAGATGCACCTTTAATTGAAGAAGAAAAACCTGCCATTGTAGAAAAAAAAGTTGGTATTGAAGAAACATCGTCTGAGATTAAGGAAGATACACCAGTAATTGAAGATAAACCGATAATTGAGGAAGACAATCCTTCCGTTGAAGAGCAAAAAACCCTCAATAAATCCTCAGGTTTTGTCGACATTGCAGAAGTGTTTTCCGATAGTTTCACGTCTCAAGAAAACAAAGAAGAAACACCCAAAACAAACGAAAATATGGAAGAAACCAATCAGAAATCCGAGGTTATATCAGTGGCATCATCGGAGTCAGAAATTATTAGCGAGACATCCACAGAGCGTAGAATGTGCTCTAGCGACTCTGAGATAGCTTTGAGCGTTTCACAAGACGTCCCTGAGGTTTCTTCAGAGTCCAATGAGTCCGCAAAAGGGGAAAATGCGTTTGAAAACGCGGAAAATGCACAGGATAAAAATTTGAGTGAAGAAGAAGTGGAAGACGTGCCTACTCTACAATTGGATTCTTCGATGGAGGAGGATGAAGACATCGAGAAAGACTACGAGGTGGTTGAGATGTCGGATGTACCGAGAGTCGAGGAATTACCGCAGGAAAACAAACAAATCGAAAACAAGAAAGTTAAAAGCTTGTTCGACACCCCAAACTCTTCCGAAGCTAGTTCTCCAGCCGTGGTCGAAATAAACGACTCCACGAGCGATTCGGTGGAAGAAGTGAAGCCCCAAAAGTCCGCCGATGAAGTCCATTTGGCACCGTCACAACCAATGGACTTCCATCAAAATCTAGAAACGCTTAGAGCAGTTGAGAGCTTGAAAAGTCTTTGCGGCACCTCGGACGCTTACCCCGAGCCTTCAGAAGATTTTACATTGAGACAAGCTGTGGAGAGTATCAGTCAGCCTTTTGAAGCTGAACCTGAAGCTGCTATAATTGAGGCTGCAGATGAGAGCTCGCCTGAAGTGGTTTCTGATGAAACTGATATTCTTATTGGTGCAGCTAATGATGCTCAAAAGAACTTGCATGAAGGTAAAAAGCAGAAGAAATCGCACGAAAAAGAGAAAGAGAAACATACTGGATGTGATAAACCTTTGTCTATCAACGTAGATGAAGTGAAAGAATCAAAAGTGTACAGCCCAAAATTAATAATAAAACCTCTAAAAGCCCCAGAAGATGAAATCACCACAACAAGTAACGTGGAGAGTGAAAATCGCGAGCCACTAAAAATGACAATCACCAAACAGTCGGACAAAATGCATTCCATATTGAAAATTTACAATCCCAATGAAGTACAGGAAGTCCAAGACGATTCACCCGAACAAACGGTACCGAAATTAATCATAAAAACTACAAACAAAGAACAAGGGAGTCCTAAGTTGACGAGGCGAGCTTACCACTCGCCGACAAGTTCAACGCCCAGATCTGGAAGTCCTAGAGTTACAGGAAAGGAAGCTGTAAGTTACTTATTTTTATGATTCATCGAATTGTATTTTTCCATCTTGTTAATTGCAGAATAACTTATCTCGCGGCCCGAAGTTGATCATCAAACCCGTCATCAAGCCTGATGACGAAGCCAAGGAAGAAAGAAGTCCAAAGTTGAACATCAAGCCCGTGAGGGCTCCGGAAGAAAGCGAGCAAGTCCACAGCCCCAAACTGCGCATCAAACCCATCGTCAAGCCCGACGAGCTGATCGAACAAACGCCGAAGAGACACGGCGAAAAAGTTTGCAGCCCCAAAGTTACGATCAAGCCCGTGCTGAAAACCCACGAGTTGGAGGCGAAATTGGAGGAGGACGAAAGGATCGTCTTGAAGACCAGCCCCAAAGTGACGATCAAACCGGTGGTCAAACCTGCCGAGCCGGAGGTCAAGAACGAAGACGACGAAGTCAAAGAAAGGATCGTTTTGAAGATAAACAAGGGAAATTTGACGACGCCCGTCAAGGAGTCCAGAAAGAGGGATCACTCGGAAGAAAAGTCGGAGAAGTTGAAGAAAATCAAGTTGAAGTTTTCGAGAGAAGGTGGGCAGACTCACATAGTACCAAGTACTGAAGAGCTTAAGATGGAAGTTGAGGATAACTCAGTGGATAATAATGATTCTGTGAATACTGACAATGTTTCTTCCGTATCGACGCCGGATGTCAGGGTAAACACAGGTAAAAAGCTTTATCATCATTATTTCCGGGTTAAAAGTAGTTCTGAGATACAACAGTTTTTGTAAGCAAAATTTTAATGTGCTTACTGTAGAAAAAGTTTCATTTTAAGCCCGTATTACAGTCAAACGAATTTTTTTTTGGGAAATAAAAATATTTTGAAAATGGATTTTTTTAGAAATTTTTAAAGCTGATTTTGAAAATAATTGAATAGGTATTTAATAATTTTAAATTTTTTAAATTATTTTAAAAATAATCATCCTAAAAATCGAACCAATAAGCAATTTTATTCGATTTGCTTTGTCACGTGACGGTTTTAAAAACTCTCCCCCCTACGAACGTCACGAGATTTATGGACGGCAATTTTTTTGAAAAATATACAAATGATTTTTTTTTAAATTGTAAAATTTTAAAATTAATTTTGTTCGAAATTTTGGAATTTTTTAAAAATTTTATCTACTCCTACATTGACGAGCTGTAACTTTATGGCGTTTTATTGACGGGCTGAAGTTAACAACAGTGGCTTTTCGACATTTTACGTCACGGGCTGAAGTTTTATTATAAATTGGGAAAAAGTGAGGTTAAATTCGGGTGACAGTTGACAGATGTCAAAATTTTAACAAACAAAATTGGCTTTAAATTCTGTTTTGTGTTCGTCGTAGATAAAGTATAGTATGCAACTCGTTTATAAACTTCTCTAGACACTCGTTTTTATTAAACACTCGCTCGCAAGCTTCGCTCGTGCTTAATTAAACTCGTAACTAAAATTGCGTTTATAAAACTTGATACATAATATACTATTATTTTAAAAATCGTTTTTGTGAAAATTAAAACAAAAATTATATTTATTTACTTAATTATTTACATTTTTAAAATTTTGGTATTTTTTTAAAATGTTTTTTTTCGGAAATTATGAAAATGGATTTATATGAATTTTAGAATTATAAAAAAATTTTAAATGTTGTAAATCCTAGAATTATGAAAAATTTCAAAATTTTGGATTTTTTTTTAAATTTTGGTATTTTTTTATATTTTGGAATTTTTAAACATTTTGGAATTTTTTAAAATTTTCGTTTTTTCTGAAATTTTTTAAAATGTTGTGAAAATATAAATTTTTAAATTTTTAAAAATGAATATTTATTGTAAATTTTTGAATTTTTTTTTAATTTTCATTTTATGGTTTTCTGAAAATTTTGAAAACGTTTTTTTAAATTGGAATTTTTAAAAATTTCAAGATTTTCGGAAATTATAAAAATGGATTTGTTTTGGAAATTTTAAAATTTGTTTCCAAAAATTTTGCTTTTTTTATATTTTGGAAAAAAAAAAAAACTTTAAACATTTTGGAAATATTGAAAATGAATTTTTATTGAAAATAATTTTTTTAAATTTTCAAAATTTTGGAAAAGTTTTTCTGAAAATTTTTAAAATATTGGAAATTTTGAAAATTTAATTTAATACTTTTTTGAATACATTTTGGTAATATTGGAAATTGTGTAAATGTAAAATTTTATTATTATTATTATTTTTTGGTAATTTTGGGAATTTTGAAAAGGTATTTTTTTGGAAATTGTGAAAATGGATTTTTTTTTAAATTTTAAAAAGGGTTTAAATTTTGAAGTGATTTCCTCCTTAACTTTTTTATTTGTTACTCAATTTTAATGAACAACGGCTCAAAAGATATAGAATAAAAAACTTAAAGCTATACAAAATATTTTTAATGTCACTTGACAGATGCCTAGTATAACATTTATTTAAAATTAAAATGGGTACAAACCAAATTTTATTAAAAACGAACCACTATTTTAGACAACACATTTAGGAGGTTTAGAAGAAAAATAAGTACGCCACTGAACGAATCCGAATTTTGACAGAAAAATTTTTATAGTAGGCATCTGTCAAGCGACATTAAAAATATTTTTTATAGCTTAGTAAGAGTTTTTTATTCTCAATCTTTTGACCTCATTAAAATCAAGTAACAAATAAAAAAATTTCGTTTTTTCTGAATTTTTTTAAAATATTGGATGTTTTGAAAATGTACATTTTTTAAATTTTTAAAATGAATTTTTATTGTAAATTTTGGAATTTTTTTTGTAATTTTCATTTTAAAAATGGTAAATAATTCAAGATTTTAAGAAATTATAAAAATGGATTTGTTTTGGAAATTTTAGAATTTTTTTCCAAAAATTTTGCGTTTTTTTATATTTTGGATTTTTTTTTAACTTTTAAACATTTTGGAAATACTTACCTATTGAAAATGAATTTTTATTGAAAATTTTGTAATTTTTTAAAAAAATTCTAAAAATGAATTAATATTGTAAATTTTGGAATTTTTTTAAATTCTCATTTTAAAAAGTATTTTCTGAACATTTTGAAAATGTTTTTTGAATATTTGAATATTTAAAATTTCAAGATTTTCGGAAATTGTAAAAATGGATTTAAGTGTTTGGAATTTTTTTAGGTATTGATAAGGAATTTTTATTTTAAAATTTTGGACTTTTAAAAAAATTCTGAAAATTTTCAAAATATTGAAAATTGTTTTTTTTAATACTTTTTTGAATACAAAATTTTGGTAATATTGGAATTTGTGAAAATGTAAAATTTTAATATTATTATAATTATTTACAAAGTTTTGGTAATTTTGAAAAGGTATTTTTTTGGAAATAGTGAAAATTGATTTTTTTTTAATTTTAAAAATTATTTAAATTTTGAAGTGATTTCCCAGGAAACTCGTACCGCACATACAGTTTAAGATGAAAACACCTCCGTAACTTTTTTTATTTGTTACTCGATTTTAATGAGCAAAGGCTCAAAAGATAAAGAATAAAAATAAGCTTTGCAAAATATTTTCAATGGCACTTGACAGATGCCTACTATAACATTTTCAAAATTCGGAAAAAATATGGTCGTTTTTTTGAAAAAATAAGTACGCCACTGAATGCGGCATGCTTCAAAAAGGGTACAGACCAAATGTCAACAAACAATTAATAACTATTTTATAGAATTAAAAAAAATATTTATAACGAAAAATAAAACACATTTAGGAGGTTTAGAAGAAAAATAAGTACGCCACTGAACGCGCTTATACTTCAGAATGTTCGTTTTTAATGAAATTGGGTTTTTATCCATTTGGAAACATGCCGCATTCATTTTTTCGAAAAAATTACCCTAATAATTTTTTCCGAATTTTGACATAGAAAAAATGTTATAGTAGGCATCTGTCAAGCGACATTGAAAATATGTTTTATAGCTTAGATAGAGTTTTTTATTCTTAATATTTTGAGCCTTTCTTTATTAAAATCAATTAACAAATAAAAAAGTTACGGGGGTGTTTCGATCTTAAATGGGCCACACTTTATGTTTACACATTAAAGGGTATTTTCTTCTATAATTACAATGTCTACAAATAATCCAAAACAAATATTTATCCTGTAAAAGTAATGAACCAGGTTTATATGTTCTAGTAACCCCTTTGTCTACTCCCGACACAACCCCGACACCGCGCAAGCGCGGCAGACCGCGCAAAATTCCCCTGGCAGTGGAGACCCCGCCGATGCCATCCCCCGCGCAGGAAGCCTCCCGCGGTCCCCCGTCCTTGCCGGGCGACGAAGCGCAGCCCAAAAGCCTGGAGGACAAGGCTACTCCGCGCGCGGAGTCCGGCCGTCCGAAAAGAAGTTGCAGGGGAGTGTCCGTGTGCGACACGCTGGGCATCAAGCCCAGAAAGCCCAGGGGCGGGGGCAGGGGCAGGGCCAGCGCCCGAGGACTCGGGACCAGAAGTAATGTGCCCATGAAGCCCGAAAAGGTGAGTTGACTTTGATGTTAATTGTAGAGCGGTTAAAAATTTCGTTTTTCTTTCTTCTAGCGATCATTAAGATCTAGCGATTAAGTCAAAAGGAGTTTTAAATCTGTAAAGAGCGCGTACCTAAGTGTATAAATAGAGTGGCAATTTTGAAGTCTGATATATTATTATTTATAGAGAGTTTATAAGGACTTGTGGTCTTTCAAGCGTTTCATGATTTTTTTGGAGTGAAATTCGATCAAAAAATAATTTTAGGAAATTCGGCTGTGACTCGTATCAGTGACGCAAGTATTATTTTTCGAGTTATTATTTTTGAAATTCGGACTTTATTGCATTATCAATTTAAACTAGTGTGTGTAAATAATAAGTTAACAAACATTTTAGTACTAATAAGATTATTGTTTTGGTGTATTTTAAACAATAAATAAATCTTGTAAATAGATAACAATTATCTATATAGGCAGCACATAAAAACGCATTTGAAAGACCAAAGTCAAATTATTTGAGTCTTGACATAGAATCTCAGTCCAGTTAAAAAATACGCATCACTTTCTGGACATTTTTTATTCAGTAGTTCTGCAAGATGTTTAGACTTGTAGTAATTTTATCAATGTAGATAACCTATCCATATAACAAAAAAATAATGTTTAAATTTTACTGTAAGTCTCCAGAATTTGTATTTTTTGTTCTTATTTACCAAATTCCTATTTTTCTACATTATCTTATAACATTTAAATAAACGTTATGTATGTGTAAATATTTACCAGTATCGTTTTATTTATAAAAAAATCTTGATACACCCTTAAAAATTTTAGTTGGCAAATTCTAGGGACCCTAAATGTATAATTGGCTACATTGAGTAACAAAATAATTTAGTGGCAGCTTTAAAAATTAAATAACTCCTGCCATTTTGCGATTTCAAAACAATCGTTAAGAAAAATGTGTTTTAAAATTTGGTGTTTTTTTTTCGTGAATTATAAAATCCCTGCCTAACAACGTGAATAATTAACTCAATATTCACGTTGCTAGGCATCAGCGATTGGCCGATTTGTGATTTGAACCAATCAGGTTTTAAATTGGAAGAAGGCGACTATAATTATATTTAAAATTGGTAGAAATTAAGGTTAACCATTTGACAGATGTCAGATTTTATTTATTTAATTTTTAAAATCATTTAATTATCTACTTATTGGAGTAGATTTTTAAGATATACAAAAATAAAGCAATTAATATGAAATGTTGCGGGTAAATTATTAAAATTCTTTTATACGCAATAGTAAATCATTAACTTTTCGTTGGTCCCTCGTATGAACGAAATTCCATGTAACCTTCCTTGATTACACTGGCTTGAATGTAAAATAGACCTTTAGTCTATTGTAGGCAGTAGGTTTAATTGCTGTCAAATAAATAGACATACTTGGACCACATGGCGAGAAAAAATACTACCAACGCGCCAGCGAGTTAAAAATAGAACACTTCAGCTGATATTTTTGACGTTTCAGTACGAAAAGACGCTATAACAAACAGTTTAAAGCAGTTTTATATAATTTTTTTACATTGTTTTCGTATTAAATAGCAGTTGCCATGCAAATTAACAATTGCCGCAGTGTTTTCATGGCTAATTCGATAAGGGAATGTAAGTAGTTAATGCGCGAGTTGTTGTGGGCGGAGTTGTGCGTAATCTAATACTGGCACGGATTTATATGCATGCAAAAAGTAATTTTACAATAATTGTGAAATAAAAACAGGTAATAATCCATAAATATAGTCTGGACAACTATTAAGAGTGCGCACATTTGTGTTAAAGGGGCACCGGAGTATATTTTATTATTTTTAATTTATTTATGAAAAATATAAATTATAAAAAGTTGTCCCTTATCCATTTGTGTTATTACTCTTAATAATCTAACATGATATTTTTGTTTGCAGGAAGTGAAGCTGAGTAAAGCGCGTTTGAAGCTGCTGGAAAAATCGGCAAAAGAGGAGGAGTTACGGAAAAAGGAAGAACTAGCTTTACAAGGCAAAATTGAGGTTATTGAAGTTAAAGAAATAACCGACAAAGAGGCAGAAATCGAGGAAACTGTGAAGCCTTTATCAGAGTTCAGCAACATACCTATACCTAGTATTGAAGAAGCGAATGTTGATTTAACTCCAGACGATTCAACTCCTTCGCCAATTGTGGAAGAAATTAAAGTATTAGAAAAGAAAAGTGAAGATATTGTTGTAGTGGAAGCTATTATTGAAAATCCACATAAAGATGAAGTAACAGATATTCTTCCTGAAGCAATGTTTGAAGAAGAAACAAGAATGAGTGCCGATGCCAATTCTAGAGCTCAAACCCCGGCAAAACAGGTATTTTTAGTTTTATTTTTTTTATTTTGGATGGTTAAATTATCACTGCTAAAATGGATTACAAAATTAAACGGGTATTTTTGTGTTAATTATGTTTATAAATATGTACTTTTTCCTTTAACATACATACATACATATAACAGGAGTAAGGTACATGTACATGGTGTGATATTAATTTAAAATATTTCTTGAGGTTATTGCTACACCAATGGAAGTAGAAGAGTCCCAAAGCTCCATGCATAGTACCGCCACAGTGGAGAGTGGAAAAACTCCGGCTAAAAACAAAGGTTCTAGACTTGAAGTCCATCAGGACTTGGACACCCATATTATAGCAGCTGAGCAACTAGCTGAGTACTATTGGAACAACAATGGCCCTTTTATGCTGCAAGAACAAGTGGCGCAGTTTTTGGGCATAAAATCCTTCAAAAGGAAATACCCAAATGTCCAAAGACGATTTGTAGATATGCAGGAAAGGGATTTTATTCGGGAAAGTGGCCTCGCGTCCGAAGCTATGTGCGACTTGGGACTTACAGCTGTTTGCTGCGCCGATATTCTCGACATTATGTACAACGATTTTCAGGATAAGTACGAGGAATATTGCAAGCATCAGAGGGATAAACAAACGAAGGAGTTGATTAATAAACAAAAGGCGATGTGTTTGGCCGCTATACAAGACAAAAACAGACTCGATCTTACGGAGCAAGCTATCCATTCAGCTGCAAACTGGAACGCCAGCTTCAACAAGGTAAGTTCTACACTAAACGCACTCTTTTATTAATAAATTATCCATGTTAGGCCCAAATATTTTTTATTTTATTTTTCTATTTATTCAAGAAAATTCATTTACCCAGAATAATTATTAATTTATTAAATACTAGCTGTTACCCGTGACTTCGTGTGACTTCGTTCGCGTGAAATTAGTACTTTACATTAGCTATGATAATGGGTCAGTCGAAGGTTGCGTAACAAATTACAAAACACTTTTAACTTGTCTTGTAACCCTGCCTAAATGACATACATAAATATTTCACTTTTTATTACTGAAATGGATAGTCCTTGGTTTTTTATACCATCCTATTTTTTTCATATTTCACCAAAATGGTGATTTTTTGTTTATTTTGATAATGTTTGCTCATTTTGGCGAATTTTTGGGATTTTTGTTGATTTTGGTGTTTTTGCCAATTTTGGTGATTTTTTCCCTTGGTGTCTTTTGCTACTTTTTGGTGATTTTTGCTCATTTTCGTAATGCTTGCTCATTTAGGCAATTTTTCCTCATTTTTTGCCATTTTGTGTAATTTTGGCCGTTTTGGTCATTTTTGGCCTTGTTGGTAATCAGGATTTTTTTGTCATTTTTGGCCATTTTTTTTATTTTGATAATTTTTGCTCATTTTGGCGAATTTTTGGTGATTTTGGTGTTTTTGCCTATTTTAGTGATTTTTTCCCTTGGTGATTTTCGCTACTTTTTGGTGATTTATGCTTATTTTCCTGATGTTTGCTCATTAAGGCACTTTTTCTTCATTTTTGGCCATTTTGTAGAATTTTTGGCGTTTTGGTGATTTTTGGCCATGTTGGTATTTTTTGCTCATTTTGCCAATGTTTGCTTATTAAGGCATTTTTTTCCTAATTTTTGGCCAATTTTAATTTTTATTTTGATAATTTTTGCTTATTTTAGTGAATTTTTGGTGATTTTGTTGATTTTGGTGTTTTTGCCTATTTTTGTGATTTTTCCCCTTGGTGATTATTGCTTATTTTCGTGATGTTTGCTTATTAAGGCAATTTTTGCTCATTTAGTTTAAGTTTGCTTATTTGGGCATTTTTTCTCATTTTTGGCCATTTATTAATTTCTATTTTGATAATTTTTGTTCATTTTGGCGAATTTTTGGTAATTTTGTTGATATTGGTTTTTTGCCTATTTTTGTTATTTTTCCCCTTCATGATTTTTGCTACTTTTTGGTGATTTATTTCGTAATGTTTGCTCATTTAGGCAGTTTTTCCTCATTTTTGTCAATTTTTTTATTTTTATTTTGATAATATTTGCTAATTTCCTAATTTTGGTGATTTTGCTAATTTTGGCAATATACAGACTAATTTTTGTTGGAAATTTTATGCTTTAAGGAACCGTCACGATTTGTCACGCCTGAGGGGGGAAGGAGTTTATTAAAACGTCACGTGACAAATTAAATTCGTCACATGACCCTTTGGGGAGTGTTTTCATCGTATTAGTCTTCTATATTGTTGCATGTGTATTAATTAGTGAAAAATCACCAATACGGGCAAGAATCATCAAAATGAGCATAAAGATCGCGTTGAAAGGAGAGGGGTCAATTTGGACCATTTTTAGCGTGACGTAATCTTTTCTTTCCGATAGCAGAGTTCTTTTTATCACAAAGATCAAATTAAACGAATTGTGATTGGTCAATAAAGAAACTAGGAAGTCGTCTTTATGTCGTATTTTTGGTGTAAACAGCTGACGCATCATGCTGCCATTCGGTTTATAAGAGGGGGAAATAACTCGACACGGTGGACCTTGTGTCGCGTTATTATTAACTTTAAAAATGATTCAGATACTTAAAATGTAACAGTGAATTATTGATTTAGTTAAATGTGTAAAATCATTATTTTTTTTTTCATTTAACTCTTATAAAAACGTTTGAACATTAAACAATTCTCTTGAAATCAAATTAAAAATGCAAAACCTAATAAAATAAAGTAATTTTTAGTTTGATTTTTATGTTTAAACGTTTTTTACTTTGGTTAAATGTAAAAATGATTTTACATTCTAAATTAAAATTCACTGTTAAAAGTGACTAGGTTACATTTATGACATTTAAATCTCCAAATACAACCATTTGTATTAAACCTTTAATGTAGAATAACAGGAGTTATTAAATTATTTCGAAGTACATGCAAAACGCAAATGATGCAAAATATCCCCTCTTTCCACCCATTGTTTCTAATGTTTAAACCATTAAAAATATTTGACACTTAATTATTATTTTAGAATCGTAAAGAGCAAAGAAAAGCCTCGATGGATTTGCAAACTTTAACAGTAAACTACCCAAAAGGCAAAATAAAGCAACTGAATAAACCTAAAATAGGTCATTATCCTGTTTCTTTGGTGCCAGGACAATTCACAGATTTTTACCAGGTAAAACAGTTTTCTTGAAAACACATCTTTGATAGCTATTAAAACCCGGTTTCTTAATTTTTAGGAGTTCACACCAACTGAAATAAATAATCTCCCGATCAACACAATGTGTTACGACCCGATAAACGTACACGAGTCTGATTCTGACAGTTCAGGGTCCGACTCCGACTCTGACAGTTCATCTTCAGGGTCCAGTTCTTCGGGGTCTTGTTCTGACGACGGTGACTGCAAAGTTTGCGTGAAAATTCCGCAGCATCAGCCGATCAAAAAAGCCGCCGCAACTTCTACCAAGTAAGCACACAGTATTCAGCGTTTACCTATTGTATATATTTTTACTTTTTGATAATCTCTAATATATGATCTATGTTAGGTACTTAATAGATGTATTACTTAATTCACTTGAGTTTTATTTATTTATTGAACCTGTTTTGATTTAATTTCATTTTGTTCATCACAGAATTTGGGGGAACTCGATTGGTAAGTTTTATCCCAGAAACCACGGTTTTTCATCAATGGATTAATTACACTAGTTTTCAGCCATTTTCCCCACCATGTCTCACTATGATTTTCTTGTGTAGTTTGGCTCACTAAACGCGAAAATCACACGTACAATTTTTTTCATGAAAGCGTTTTCGAGATATGACTTTTCAATTGTTTATTTTAATTTTCTCAGGTGTTTTGACGTTTTAGAGTATACTTGGTAATTGAGCCCTCTACAACGTACTCTTGTATAGTTTTTGTATCGGCTCAGTAGTTCGATGATAGCGATTTTATTAAGTTGATTTGTTTTACATATAGATGATACTTAAAGGAAAAAAATAAACTGCTGTTGATAAAAATCCATGGATAAATGGCGAAGTTATGAAGTTTTCAGTGGAAGATCAAAATTCAGTTTTTCGAGAATGTTTTTTCATTTTATTGAATTATATAAAATTTAATATTGAACATTGATTTTTATTTTAAACATTAAATATTGAAATTAAATTCTATATTGAATATTGCACATTTAATATTGAAGATTGAATAGGTATATTGAAAGTTTTATTTTGTTATAATAAGCATAGGTTTAAAAAAATTCTTTCGTATTCCGATCCTAGTATGAGGGACCAAATGTAATCACCCATTATGGCTGCATCCCAGAAGCCGTGATACCGCCGCTCCATAGCCTTCATTTCCTGGTGAAAATGTTCTCCCTGCTCATCACTTACGTCGCCCAGATTGTGCGGGTTATTTACGCACTCGAACTCTCTACTTCTTTTACAGTTTTTATTAACTAAATAAAACATGATAAAAATACCTTGTTTAAATATCAAAAAATATCAGTAAAATGTCACTATGCCAACACTAGAAACAAAAGAATTCACGTTTGCGGAGTCATGTCAAATTTAAATTTTGGATAATGTTTTCGGTGAAAAAAGTACGTAAACAACTCAAAAAATTCCAATCATGCACTTAATTTAGGCTATCATTAAAGAATAAACATATTTCAAAAAAAAGAAAATAAATAAAATAAAAATCGTCAAAAAGCTGAATTTTGGTCTTCCACTAAAAAATTCATAACTTCACCATTTTTTCATGTATTTTTATCAACATTAGCTTGTTTTTTTTGTAAAAATGTCAGCATAACGAAAAAAATTCAAACTGGAGTTATATGTTTGATTTAAATCCTTCCCAGGACGATATGTATAATTTCGACCTCAATTTTTGCCATAAAACGAATTTTTTAAGTTATCAAAATCGCTAGCGTCAAAATACTTTTCCGAAATCAAAAGTATGTTAATACATTCAATTTAAGGGCTTGTTTGACCAAATCGATCAATTAGATTTCAAGTTATACTCAGATTACAAAACGCCTCCAAAAATTGAAAAAAAACAAACAATTGAATATTCTTATCTTAAAAACGCTTCCATAAAAAATTGAGTGTAATTTTCGTGATAAGTGGGAAAAAATAAATGGAAAAATTAAAAAATCGTAAAAATCGGTTGTTCCGGATATTTATATTTAATTTATTGGATGATATTTTATAATAAATATTCTACATTTATTATAACATTATTTACTTAAACGCGGCTATAGGTATTTCATTGCAAAATAGTTTTTTATGCGAATTATAAAAAATGCATAGTGCTACACCCATTTGTGGGATTTATTTCTTGGAAGTGTGATAATATACTATTAAATTATAATAAAAAACTACAAATATGAATGAGCATTTTATTTTTATTACATAGATACATAATTTAATATTTACAATAAATGGGTTTTTAATGACATTTTAATGGTCTCCTCTGTATGAACCGTCGTCGTAAAGTAATTCAGTGTTGTCGTGGACATATTGTCCTTCCAGTCCTGATCCCCATCCACCAACACCTGCTCCTGAAAAAGGATAAAAATTAAAAATATTTTGAGGTAATGTATTAGATTAAGTTTGGCAACAGTGCGTTATCCTTGCACCTAGCTGAGAACTTGAACTTTCCTATGCAATTATTTCTGCCGGTTTGAAGACTTTCTATTCAATTAGATATGGTGTTATAATAATTTGGTTTTATAATTTATTTGATTGAAAAAACTTTTTTTCATTAATTTTATTTTCTTGTAATCTTCAAATTATTCAGCAATTTAATCTAAAAATCGAAGAATTTTAAAGAAAATTGAAAGAATTTCATAACAGTGTGACAAAATTAACGCATAATAAGTAAAAAAAACTTTAAAACACCTTTACCAATCTTTATGAAATTTTGTATAAGAATACTTCATCTCATAGGTATCTCAGTTTACGTGTTCAAGGGTTTTTCGAGAAAATATTTTTATCTCCACGCGGTCTATAATTTAAACTTTATTGTTGTCAACATTCGATAAAGAAATACCTTGTTATGGCCTAGGCCGATAAAATTTTTTATGAGGCAAGTAATTAGTTCGATTTTTTCTCGCTAGGGGTATTGTTTTGACAAATTAATCCTTTTCTAAGAAATTAACGTACTAAACTGGTTTAATTTATTTATAATAAGCACTAATTTGTTTGTTTTACTGTTAATGTTTAATATTTTTCATTAAATTATTGTAAAATTAAATATGAATAATAAAACAAAAAGTGAGGTTAGGCAACCACGAAAACGCACAATTCTTTTTCTACAATTTATATTATCTTTAAGTTATAATTTGCTTTAAGTTTTCAGTGAAATTAAATGTTAAACACAGCTTAAACATTCCAAACTACCTATTTTTTAAATAAAAATCCAAACAAATTGAAATTAGATACCTACCTATTTATTAAACAATTAATTTAATTCAATGTAATAGCAAAAATCAATTTCTACTTAAATCATGTTGCTAGGTATTGTCAAACTATTACTGCTTCTAAAAGCAATAATAATTATTGTACATTTAATGTAATCTTTAGCTAATAAATAAATGAGATTCTAAAAAAGTGAGATTAGGCCGCTTTGATGTTGAATTAAATTGACCTAAATAAAGTGCTTTGAAGATAAAATGTTGTATGCCATTCGGCTAAGAAGTGCCTTTTTGTGCTTCGCTCAATTGTAGGCCTCCGCTACGCGTCGGCCTTCAAACCTTGAGCTTAGCACAAAAAGCCTTACTTCTTAACCTAATGACATAAATAACTATTAAAGCCCTTATATTTAATATTAAAAAAAAAAACGCTTGAAAAAAAACTTTTATAGGAAATTTTTTTAAGTATATAAAAAATTTGCTGTTAAAGACCGTATTTTTGAAGCGCTGTATCTTCGTTACTATTCGTTTGATTTGTACAAAATTTTTAGGGTATACTAACAAAAATACGGTCTTTAACATATTTTTTATTTACTTAAAAAAATTCCCTAAAAAAGTTTTTTTTTCGAGCGTTTTTTTAATATTAAATAAAAGGGCTTTAAAAATATTTTCTCGAAAAACTCTTGAACACGTAAACTGATATATAAGGCAGGCAGTGTATGTGAAATTCGTCCTAATGAAAAACAACTTGTTTTCTTGTACCATAAATAGACAGACCTATAGTTTTTTTTAAAACTAAGGATTTTAATATATATATATACATATATATACAGTGTGTTTCATTTAAGATGAAGACACCCCCATATTTTCGCTATTTCAAGAAATAGATATTTGAATTTTTTCACATTTTTTAAGATACTCAACTGAAATCTAAACTTTATACTTGGCCTACTACGAATTCATAAACGGGGCCAGTTGTCGATATTTTGCTTCGCGTTAGAAATATCGAAAAAAATTATTAGAAAAAGTTTTTCAGAATATTATTCTAACCTCGTATACCGATTTTCATAGCAAAATTCGCATTTCTAATTTATTTATTTTTATTAGTTTTATTATTGTTTTATACCATTTCCTTAATTTAATAAATTATAATTGATTTGTAATTTCCAAAAATTGTTTTAATTATTTATTTAACGGCCATAAACACTAGTTAGTATCAAATTATTACTTTCCATGGCTCCCTTATTATCAAACTAAAAAATGAACTTGTAATAATTTTGTGTGGACCAAAATAAAAAAAAAATTAAAAATGCGAATTTTGTTATAAAAATTGGTATATGGGGTTAGAATAATATTCTGAACAACTTTTTCCAATAACTTTTTTCGATATCTCTAACGCGAAGCAAAATATCGAGAACTGGCCCTGTTTGTGAATTTGTAGTAGGCCAAGTTTAAAGTTCAGATTTCAGTTGAGTAGCTTAAAAAATGTGACCCATCAACATGTATGAATGTGAAAAAATTCAAACCTTTATTCCTTCAAATAGCGAAAATATGGGGGTGTCTTCATCTTAAGTGCGACACACTGTATATATTAAAATCCTTAGATTTAAAAAAACCATATTATTTTCGTATATCTTACCAACGACTCCATGAACTCCCACCACCGCGGCGGGCACAGCCGCCGCCACAATGCCAGGCGCGACAGCGGCGGCAACACTGCCTCCTTGCGCCCCATGGGCCACCACTCTTCCGCCGACGGCGGCGGCGGCAATATGGCTGCCATCCGGTCCATTCAAGGCGGTTTCACTTCCGGGACCTTGAATCACGATACCATGCTCGCTGGGACCAATCAAGCCCAAGGTCACGCTGTGACTGCATAGGGCTGGAGCCAGCAGGGCTGCGAAGAAAATTGCCTAAAAAGGAAAACACTTAATTTAATAATTAATAAAAATAACAATTTATCCATTTGAAGTTTTTATTAACATTTTGTCCTAAAATTGTACTAAAAATGTCACTTATATACCTCTTATAAAAACCTGAATTTGAAATCATAAATTTATTAATTAAATGACATTCCATTCATTTCAAGTATTTTGTATTCTCTTACCAAAATTTTCATTTTGCTTCAATAAATCACCGAAGATATTAGAATCAAAATGTCACTTGACATTGCCTTTCCCTACAATTTATACTTATTTCTAAGTTTGTATTCGATGACCTTCGCCCTCGGTTTACCATTGGGCAGTGCATGCAGGCACTTGTTTTGCTATTAGTTGCATTTGAGACGCATAGACAGGACCGCATCAAGTAAATATTTACCATATATGTTTTCGTATATTTATTTACTACTACATTGACATATGTCAGATTGGAAAAAGTGAGGTTAAACCCGTCTGACAGATGTCCGATTGGTTAAAAGTGAGATTAAAACCGCTTTACAGTTGTTAGATGTCTTATAAAAAGTCAAATAAACTTGACCAAATCCTGAAATTACATTACTTACTTCTCGAGATCACTCATTTATTATAAACTCGCTCCGCTAGTACATAATTAAACTCGTGTATTAAATTACGTTTATCTACTCCTACATTGACGAGCTGTGACTTTATGGCGTTTTAGTCACGGGCTGAAGTCATAAACTGTGGCTTTTCTAGATCACTTATTTATTATAAACTCGCTCCGCTAGTGCATAATTAAACTCGTGTATTAAATTACGTTTATCTACTTCTACATTGACGAGCTGTTACTTTATGGAGTTTTAGTCACGGGCTGAAGTTATAAACTTTGGCTTTTAAGCGTTTTATTCACCGGCTGAAGTTAGCTTTATTATAAATTGAGAAAAAGTGTGGTTAAATTCGGGTGACAGTTGACAGATGTCAAATTTTTAATACATACGATTGGCTTTAAATTCTGTTTTGTGTTCATCGTGGATAAAGTATAGTATGCAACTCGTTTATAAAGTAGAAAAAGAAATGTTGTTAATACCTTACTGTTCTTAAAATACTTTAAACGCTTATTAAAGGCATGAAATTGTTATTATAAATGTTTTTATTTAAATAAGGATATTATTTTAAAAAAAAGCAAATATTCAGAATTCATAAACTTTATAGTCTGGCATTTTCTATAAAAGTTACAATTTATTACATATAATACGCAGAGTAATAATTTATTACTAAAATATAACAAGAACTTTAAATTTATACATCATAAATTTTATTTTATTATGTATAAAAAAAGTTGCAATAATGGCGAATGCGCCGGGATATTAAAAATCTCACATATACTGATTTGCATAAGTATTAAAGCACTTTTATTTGATTTTCTTTAGATATACATAAATTTATTAACTTTGGAATAATTTTATACGCTTCAGTAACTTTTAATCTAAAAATAAAAACTGCAAACAAAAAACCGATAGGTACAGTGTGCTGTGGTATTACTAATGACCCAAAAACGTCCTTTATAGCTAGAATAATACATAAATATAAACATTGGCAACATATATTTCCATATGGAACCCACTGAACCATTGAAAACCACCCGGCGCGGCGCATTCCTGCGACCGAATAAGAATAATTCCTGCTCGCACAAGGTTACCAACTGTGCTCAGTAAAAAACACTATAATTGGTTTTATAAGCAACGGGATGGATTTTGGGTATGGTTGACTTTCAAGCTCTGTATCTTTTACATTTTTTAGTGGATTTTAACAAAATTTTTAGGTTTTATTCATTATTACGATCTTTTAAATGTGATTAGCAGAATTTGCTTTTTTTGTTGATATACCTTGAAAATATTATTAGATGATAAGGTAGGAATTTTGTGAAAATTATTCAAAATTTTGATTTGACTTTGTGAAATATTTTCTTTTAAATTAGTTTCAAATATTTTTTGTAAAATAATTTACTTTAAACAAAGCTCGGGATTTGTTTTGTTAATTCTTTAAGAAATATTTAGAAAAAAAATACTTTTTTTAACAAAAATATTACAATACGAGGTGTGTTCAGAAAATAATGGGAATTGTTAAATTTCGCGGCTTCGGAGGGTACGGTTATCATAAAATTTTATTTATTTATTTATTATGTGGTATGCATGCCCCCGAAGTATGATAAAAACTTTAGCTGTTTTCATTATTTACTTTGTCTGTGGCAGCCGCTAAGGTTAGACGTGTTTTATGAGCTCGGCGATTTTTCGTTCTTTAAAAGAAATAGATCAAAGAATTTGTATCCAATTTTGCTTAAAAAATGAAATAAATTCTGTGAAATGTTAACAAAGGCCTATAGTGAGTCTGCTATAAGTAAAACAAGAGTTTACAAGTGGTATAAGAGTTTCCAAGATGGCCGTGAAGACGTTGAAGATGACGAACGCCCCGAACGCACAAGCACATTAACAAACGATAAAAACATGGAAAAAGTGGAAGAAATGGTTATAAACCATCAGACAAGTCGCTGATGATGTTGGTATATCGATTGGCTCATCCCATGAAATTTTTTCAAATGTTTTGGTTATGAAACGCGTGGCAGCAAAATTTGTTCAAAAATTGTTAAATTTTGAACATTTTTGCCCAAAAACAATACTGTAATGATGCCCCAGCCTCCATATTCGCCAGACATGCCTCTGTCTGACTTTTTCCTATTTCCAAAAATAAAGAGAACCTTAAAGGGCTGTCGTTTTGCAAGCATGGATGACATTAAAAGCGCATCGCTGAAAGAACTAAAGGCTATCCCAAAGATCGAGTTTTAGAAGTGTTTCGAGTATTGGAAGAAGAGCTGGCACATGTGCATAATATCCAATGAGGACTATTTTTAAGGCGACAAAATTAATGTAGACTAGTAAATAAATGTTTGTTTCAAAAAACGAAAATTCCCGATATTTTCTGAACACACCTCGTATGTAACTATATGGTACTATATCCTGCTAAATTAAATAGGTTTTCTTTGCGAAAAAGTTGCCAATTTCCCTTAGTTCGAGAGTAATTTTTTATTGGCAAAATTTAAAAAAAATATTAGGTTAAAAATTGATCTCGATGGACAGATAAATACATGAATAAATAACTAGGATAAAATTAAGAAAAAAAATATTTTTACAAACAACATCTTGAGTAGGTACTTATCTAAATAAAAGTCAAAATTTTTTTTTGGGAAAATTTTATCACGATTGGTATTCAGCAAGACTATTTCACGAATATTTTTTTTAATTAGCAACCAATTGGTTGGTTGGGTTGGTTTTTTTACCAAAATAGTAGTTTATCGCTGCAAAACTGAAAAAACTCGTTTTCTAAAATCTGATTGGTCCATAAAGTCCATGAGTGGAATAGTCGATTTTATCCACCTCTTAAGATGCATTTTTATCACTTTTGGTCAAAATTTCTGAAATCTGACGTTTTGGTTGGTTAACATGTTATTAAGAGTGTATTTATCACAATAAATGGGTTGTATTAAATAAAATGCAGATCAAAAAAATTCACACTATTTTTATAAAATTTGAAATGTTTTTTATTACTAAATTTTTTCCAGATTTTCTCTACAATAATTTTTTAAAATAATAACCATTTCTTAAGTTTGTATTTTAAAGGTTATTTTTGTCAGTTTAAGGAATATTTAAGGATAATAAAAGCACATATATTCAATTTAACATTTTTATATTCGGAAAAAAAGAAGAAAGAAGGAAGAAACAAAGAAAAGAAGAAAAACAGATAATCACATTTCACAAAAACACATTTCATAATCGTCTCGCTCTACCAGATGGCGCCATGTCCCAAACCGCCCCATCCAAGACCCAAACCGCCAACCCCCACAACTCCGGGAGATACAGCGGCACTGACAACACCGCCAGCGATGGGGGCGGCCCCCAAGGCGCCGGCCTGCGCTGAGGCGACGATGTGGCTACCGTCTGGGCCCCTGAGGGCGGCGTGGGCGGCGGGCCCCACGAGGGCGGCGCCCGGGTTGGCGGGCCCCACCAGGGTGGCCCCCAGGCCCCACACGGACGCCTGGCAGTACGCCACTGCGCACAGCAGAAACACGACGATCTGAATAAAAATGCTTTATTAAAAAAATATATTATTTCTATTTTTTATAGTTTAACACTCTGTATCTCGAAAACAAGGCTTTAAACCCTACTGCTTATATCTTACCAAGGAGTTCATATTGTATTCAAGATGGACAATCTAGAACTGTGGTTTTGCAATATTCACCCTACGTATTTATATATTGCAAGAAACAAACAAAGAAGAAAACAACCTTCGTTACTATATTACGCATATTTTGCAATTGTTACAGTAGGTTGACAAATGGGTGGGTCCAGACTGGGTGCAGAAGAAAATAGCGAAAAAAAAGAATTTTTAAATATCATATAACAATATCAACAACAATTCACTATTTATACTATAAATAAAATTTATTTATTTAATAAACCAATATTTATTATAATATTTAAATTATCCAAAATTTGTAACAATTGCCTGATACAAAAGTCAACCACTCTTATAAATGTTTATTTTAATATTAAGACAATATAATATACCTATAATAATTTTTATATTATATATTATAATTTATGAATAATTAAATTCAAATGAAATTCACTATAAACTTTTAATTGCCTACTTAACAATATTATTACAATTAAACTATCCACAATAATTATAAATAACACTGTCCAACGAAAAGTTGGTAATTTAATATTATTTTGATAAATAAAAAATAAACTATAATTTTATTATTTTTTGACATTCAAATATATACTTTTATTAGCATAAAACATACCTAATTAAATTATTTTTTAACCAATTTTTTCACTGAACATCTTTCAAACTGAAATATCTTCAGCACACTGAAATATTTTGTTTATCACATCGACAAATACCAACAAATAGAACTGATGTAATATTGCATCAACTTACTCTAATCAAAGGACAGAAGAATCAATATAGTAAATCACAGAAACAAAGACTGAAAAAAAATTAACGAAGGTTATAGACTGATCCTACTCACTATAAAAGCCATAGGGTGGTTAGGTGGACAACTCAATCAATAGACAAGTGTTGAAGATGAATTCCTTGGTAAGTTTATTTTATTTTATAAGAGGAAAAATGTAGAAAATCTATTTTTTTAATATTTATTGGCCATGTGCGCACTTTTGTCCTCCACTAGTACCTACGTTATCAATCATAGTTTGTCAAATTCATATAATTCTTGGGCTATCTGATTAAATAAACATTATTATTATTATTATTTAGATTTCTGTAGCACTTTGCGCACTCTTGTGCTGCGCTAATGCCTCAATCCTCCCAGCCTTAGGGGTGGGCTTGGTAGGTCCTGCCGCCCCTGGAGTGGCCCTGCAAGGCCCATCTGCCGCCGCCACTGTGATTGGACCAGATGGTAGTGTCAACTCTGGCATTGCACAAGGTATTTTAAAACAAAATTCTACCAAAAAAATCATGAAGATCAAGTACCCACACTCTATATTTTCTAGGTGGAGCGGTCTTGGCCGCCCCCAAGCTTGGAGGTGTCATCAGCGCCGCCGTCTCACCCGGCGTCGTGGCAGCTGCCGCTCCATTGGGCATCGCCGCCCCACTACCTCTGGGATTAGGGTTAGGCGGAACCGTATTGGCTGGACCTTCCGGTGTTGTAGCCACCCCCGGTTTAGGATTAGCCGCCCCTTGGGGATTGGGGTTAGGTAAAGTTTTGATTGGTTAAATCATAGAAGAATTTGAAAAGATTGTGAAGACTACTGCCATGTCATTGAATCGTGTTTATTTATTTTGTCGTTTTGAGTTTGAAAGGTAAAAATAAAGTTTTACAATTATATTCTGTTGTTTTTTTTAATAACAATCTATTGGTTAATTTGGGTTAAAACTTTTAAGGATTCTCCACCAATAAGGAACTCTAATTTTGAATTGCTACGATATATAGTTTACGGGAATCTTATTTAAACTTTGTATGTTCCCATCAGTTAATTATAATTATCAAAATTAATGTTATGAATGGTAAAAAACATTTTTATCTATTTTGCGTTCATAATGACTTCATTGTAACACCGCTTTTGGTGCTGTAATGAGGTACTTTACCTTACCCAAAATTTTGATTTTATAGGTTGGCTACTTTAAACAGCATACTAGTAAAATAATATTGGTTATAATATTTTTATGATTTTTCTAGTACTTACGAGACTTTTCTGGTAATAAATTTTGTTTAACACCAAAGAAAATCATTTTTTCTTCTTTAACATTAACAGCCGCTTATTGTAAATAAGTAAATTAAGGACGGCATGGCGAATCGATTTTGACATTAACTGTCAATCCAATGACTGTGATACCAACTATCTAAAGTAAAATTCGACCAAATGAAATTTAAGGTATAAAATTATTTTTTTTATAAAATTTTTGCAAAATAGATAAAATAGCATAAAGAATTCATGTCATATAATATACTATTACAGTAGAAAACAGTACATTTCAAGTTTCTTTATTTTTAATAATTAATTAATTTTTAAAGATATTAAAAATGTATAAAGGTTCTTCCAAGTTGTTTTGTATTGAGGATAGGTACCTTAAAGTTCTAAGAACGCCACTGCTCCTAAGCAAATACTTATATCCTTATATGCCTAGATTGTCATTACAGGTACTACGCCCCATGTTGAATTTTTTCCTTTCTAAATACAATGCTAAAGAAACACCCTTTTCTATATATAATAACGACTTGCTGTCTAACAAGGTCGTTTAAGCGATTTTTTCCTGATTAATCAGACTTAATTGCGCTTTACTTTACATACTTTACTTACTCCTATGCTTTTTTATTGGATTATGTAAACGCTACTTATTTTGTTAATGGAATAACATAATGAAACATTGTGATATAAATCTTATTTTATTAAATAAATTAATACAATATAAACCCAAACCATTGACTAGTTCACCCAAATATTGATTCAATTCTTCTTTTTTCCTAATTGTCTTCCGTATCTTCCCCACTGCCCACCTTGTTGTAACCCTTGTACTTGCGATAAAGGTACATTAGATAACTGTATTTGAGACGGATCTATGTTCAATTTTGTTAATTCGGAATGTAAAATACTGTCCCCAGCATTCAAAGTTCTTCCGTCCAACCCTGGAGGAGCAATTGGTATCTGATTTTGTAATTGAAGCTGACTTATTTCGAGCTGTCTTCCATCCACCCTCAAGGAATTATCAGCTAATGCTTCAGGAGCTATGGTAGAAGAAACCAAACCTCTATTATATCCAACTCCAGGAGGGATGATATTATTGGCTGGTATCAAAGCAGGATTCAAACCTATCTGACCCTGATTTAAAGCATTTTGTAAGCTTTGTTGTTGCCTCTGAGCTTCCTCCTGAGCTTGAGCTTCAATTGCCAGCAACTGCTGTCTCTTTTGCTCCTCGAGAAGTCTCAAATCGTTTTCTGAACTGGGATTTCTTATTGTTGTAGCTATACTTAAACCTGGAGTTTGTCTAATGCCTGCAACATTATTTCTTGCTCGAGAAGCTTGTCCTTGGGATTGAGCTTGAGCCGGTGCTTGAGCTTGCGCCTGGGCCTCAGCTTCAGCTTGAGCTCTGGCTTGGGCCTGGGCCTCAGCTTCAGCTTGAGCTCTGGCTTGCGCCTCTGCCCGAGCTTGAGCTTCAGCAGCAGCAAGATTCCTTCTATTTTCTTCTTTAGCTGCAACTTCAAGTAACTGCCTACTTCTCTCGATCACTTCAGCTTCGGCTCTCTGCCTGCTGTCTTCCAGCGCTGCAGCTTCGCTTAATGCCTTAATTCTTGCTTGTGCCTCGGCTTCAGCAGCCAATCTGGCTTGTTCGACTTCTGCAGCTTGAGCGGATAGCTGCCTGTTTCTTTCCGCAGCTTCATTTTCCGCCTGTTGTCTTGCAGCTTCAATTTGGCCAGCTTCTTCAGCCAATTGCCTATTTCTTTGGATTGCTACTTGTTCGGCAACACGTCTTTTTTCTTCTAGGGCAGCTGCGGAATCCCCTCCTTGTTGCTGATCTTGTTGAGCTGCTGCTGGAGCAGCTGTTTGCTGATTTGTAGCTTGCTGTGGTGCATTTTGGGCCGTGATTTGTTGGCTTCTGGTAATAGCGTTAGCTTCAGACTGTTGGATTGCTTGCTGCGCAGCTATTTGCCTTTCCCTTTCCGCAGCAGCAAGTTGTTGGCTGCGCAATAAAGCTTCAGATTCGCCCTGTTGGCTTTGCCTTCCAGCTGCAGCTACGTGTTGGCTGCGTAATAAAGCGTCAGCTTCGCCTTGTTGTCTTTGCCTTTCAGCTGCAGCTATTTGTTGACTGCGTAATAAAGCTTCAGCTTCGCCTTGTTGTCTTTGCCTTTCAGCTGCAGCTATTTGTTGGCTGCGTAATAAAGCATCAGCTTCGCCTTGTTGTCTTTGCCTTTCAGCTGCAGCTATTTGTTGGCTGCGTAATAAAGCTTCAGCTTCGCCTTGTTGTCTCTGTCGCTGAGTTGCGGCAGCGATTTGTTGGCTGCGCGCGATAGCTTCAGCTTCGGTTTGTTGGATGGCAGATTCAGCGGCCAATTGACGAGATATGTCAGCTTCAACATTTAGTTGTATTGGTGCAGCTGTTGCGGTGAGAAGAGTTTGTTGATGAATATTGTTGCCAAGATGAGTTTGATCTTGCAATCCTGGTGCAATAGTTGATATTTCGTTGCCTATAAGGCCGTTAAGTGAAGCAGGCTGAACTATGGGTGAATCTAGTTCGATGTTGATTGTCTGGTGAGATATGGTGGGTTGTATTGAAGCTGTTTCAAGTAGTGGTGCAGTCCTGATTTCGGTATGAGCAACAATTGGGACAGCGGCAGCTACAAGTGGTATTTTACGGACTGGTTCTGTAAAAAAAATGTTATTATATGTAAATATCATTTTTAGATATTATATTTACCATGTATTGTGGTTGAAGCTGGCCCTGAAACTATTGATTTCGATCCTCTGGTAGTAATAGAACCTGATGGCCCATGCAAATCACTGGATTGGTTAGGTTCTACTTCTGGAGCATCGACAAGCTTTATATCGACTGGTTTGGTCACGTCCACTACTGGTATGGCGGTATTAACAGCTACACCTTGAGCTACAACCGGTTGAACAGCTACTGTATGGGTTTCAATTGTTTCACTTATTATGGGAAGTGTTGGAGCCTAAAAGAGGATGAGTTATTAAGATGATATGATTTTTATGTTGTTGAGTTTATTACAGTTTGAATAGCTACAGGCTCAGCTGCGACTATGGTTTGTAATGCTCCCCCAGTTGTTATGTGACCTGCTTCATCAGCAGCTGTTATTTCGCTTCCATCCGGTCCTAAAAGTCACATATATATTGCAATTGCCTTAGGTTGGAAGTTTTTTTTACCTCTGATGATTGTTTCTGAATTTGGTCCTCTAAAGAGTCCTCCTATGCCTCCAGGATGTTTTGGGAGGCCATCTAAGCTAGGATGGCATTTTGTTAACACTGCGCAGCTTAGAGCTACCAGCAAAAACTATAAAAAAAAGTTACTTGATAACATCCCAATTTTATGTAACCAGAAAAGCCTAATTTTTCAATGTGGTATAGTTAAGATCAGAATTAAATTACATTATAGTTTATAGAGATTGATGTATGGTTAAGATATTTTGGTTGGCATGTTTTTTTTAGAATGTTAAATTTAGTTGCGTGTATAGATATAATCAATTAGGTACCTACACCATTAATTATCTTATTATCTAAAGTCATTAAGTTCTACCTTACATACATATATAGAGTTTCCTTGGTGGTATTTTAAAAAATTTCCACACCCAAAGCAATGTTATATAATACACACACTTCAGAGTTTTTAAATAAAAAAAAGTCATTTTAGTGAATCCCCACCACCTCAACTCATAACAATGAAAACACACTTAAATTACCATAAACTTCATCGTTGTGTTTTAAATCCTGTACACTTATTCTGTTTACTTCTTGTAATATCATTTATCTATATTCTTCTGTTTTATACGGCGGCGTAACCTTGCAGTATTTTTGCAGAGCTCGCCACGCCTTTTAAACACTTAAATGCAAAATGTAAAATCATTTTTTGTTGCGAAACGTATATTCGCAGATAGATAGGAATTAATTTTCTTTCTTTGTATTAGTGTGTACATGTGCTCACGCCACTTTGCAGGAACGACACTTGACATTTGTGCAGGATCACGTAGGTAATGAAACCTGACGCCCCTGCTAACTGTTCATTTGTTGGGTTACGTTTTTTTAACGCCAGCTTTTCCTTGCTTCGTTTGGTTCGCGATTTGTTCAGCTGTCACGTGTACACGCATATGATATATTGTGTTTTTTGTTTACCTACGGTTGTTTGGAAATGTTTATAATGTTTAAAAATAGTTTTGCTTTTCCTATTCTTTAAGAGAAAGTTTATGATGTGGTTTATATATAAATTTTTTTATACAAATTAAAAAAAAAGATTTATTTTAGTTTTTCTATTATTATCAAGCTTAATTATATAAAGCTTATATGGGTGAATATATTGAGATGTCCCCCAAGTGAAAATGATTATTTTTTATTTTTGGTTGTTTCACTGTTAGTCTAGAATGGGGTTTTTAGAAGGCCACCACGTCTAGTAATAACATAACATAAGCGGTTCGGCACTAATGAAAGAATTTTAAGAAATCATACATTTTGAATATTAGAGCTTCACGGAGGTTAGGATTACGTATGTTTTTTTAAAACATCTCTTTGTATATTTGAAATAAGTTATTGTATCTTTTGACACCTTAATATTTAAAAAAAATACAATTGTACATAAATAAAATATTTATAAAAAAATCTACTTACTGAGATATTACACATCACGGTGAATAGGTTTTTAAATATCAAATTAATGAACTTAAAGTTTTGAATTATAAAACAGCAACACTTTCATCTGCGTATAAATTCTAACTGACCTTCAGGAATCACATGCATCTATAATGTCGTAAGCAGAGGTTTTTGCTTATTTAAAATGATTAAAGCGCCATCCGTTGCACAAAATTTAAAGCAAAAACAGATTCACGGAGGATAGAATCAATTTTTGTAACACCTACATAAATGGTTATAAAAATTTAATTTAATTTTTAATAATATTTTATATTTGATTCGATTGCTTTGGATGTGTTTAATTTACTTGGTGAACTATGCTTTTACTACCTCAGATATTTGAAAACATATAGGTTAACCTAGAAAGAGTAACAGTCACGGAGGATAGGTTTTAGACTTTTTAAACATTGTAAAAAATAATTAATTGCGGTTAAAATCTGGAACCTGAGCTGTAATATCTACTTAATTATGAAAGATCAAAACACAATAAAAGTGTAGGTCAAACTCATTTAGTTTTATTAAATATCACGGGGTAACACCATCTTAGAGTGGTTCTTATGGAAACAAAATAACTTAAAATTATCAAAACTTTGTTATTACTAACCATTTTTACATCATTACGCCAGGAATAACGATTTTTGGTTCCGAGAAGTTTTTAGTTTCTTTCAAATTTTAGAACCACTGATTTTTTTCCAATTTTTACATGCCATTTTAATAGACTTATAATTACGCAACGTTTGTCTCATTTAACCGATCTTGAAGGATACTTGGTCCACCCTGTATATCCTATATAAAAAAATATTCTTAAAAAAAAGAAAATAAAAAAAAATTAATTTTTAAACCCTAATAATTTTAATACAATTAGTTATTTTTTAACTTGGTTTTATTATAATTTCAGGATTTTATATTTAATATAGACTTACACCCTTTTGTTATCAAACAATATTATTTTGATATATGTATGTACAATGTACATTGTCCACACATATGTATATAATTTATTTTTTATTTATTTTTTGTTTACATGTTTTATGTAATTTTGAGTTTTTAATAGGTACAATTTTTTATAATTATTGTGTTTAGAAAATATTTAAAATATAAACAATTAAAGAAAATTCTGGTTTAGGAAACTTGCCAACGGTTGTGATTGTTATGGAAACAATTAAAATAAGTCAGCTGAAGTTAACCATGATTGACAGATGCATTCATGGTACTATTATTATAAGTTTAATTTTATTTCAATGTTTTTTATGGATAACTTGTCAGAATAAATTTTTGTAGTTATTATTGTGCATTTTTCTACTTAAAATTTTTCAATAAAATTTAGTAAAGGGTCGTTTTGAGGGGTGGTGAATCCAGTACCGTGCTTAGATTTTGTTTAAAAAATCGCTAATATGAATTCCTAAAAATTAACTCTTAAAAACTGACATAGTAGGCCTTGTATTTTCTATAAATATGGCGTGTTTTGCTCCTAAAATACAGTTTATCACTTAAAAAAAACGGTTAGTTAAAATCGCACAATAAATACAGATTTTACAGGGGTGAGGCGCAAACAAATGGGTCACACTTAGGGTTGCAACTTTTCATGAAATAAAAAATAAAATTTTTTGGGTTTTATTTTCCGGAAAAGTTCGGAAAAGTTGGAAAAGATGGAAAAGTTGAGATTTTTGTAATGTAAACGTATAAAACATAAATAATGCTTGTCAATGTATTAAAATAATTTATTTCTTATGTATTTATACATACGTAACAAAATAACAAAAAAAAATATCAAACAAAATAAAATGAACAGACAACATAATAACAACAAAAATAAACTAGGTTTGAAATAAAAAATCATATTTTTCAGTAAAAAGGAATAGAAATTTATACACACCATAAAAAAACACATACAAAATAAAAAATAATTACAAAAAAATATGAAGCAAAAATTATTAAATTTATTGTTGTTAAAAATTATGGAAATTTACAAGTAAAAATTTAAAAAGAAAAAGAAAAGAAAACTTTCTTCTTTCCCACTTTTATATTTTCACTTGAAATTTCCATAATTAAAAAAAATAATATTTTTTTCATACTGTGTATAAATTTAAAATACGTTATAATAAAAGAATCTTTATATAATAGAAAATGCTGTTAGCAGACACCATTTTTGATAAAGTTTGACAAAATGTTATTCCAAAAAACAATGCTTTTAGCATGTTTTACTAAAAACACTTCAAATCTAGCGATTTATATCGAATTTTGACCAAATTATCTACCAAAGAAAATTTATGGTAGTGGAAACACTGGTTAGAAGTCAACTCATTGTTCATTGGCTCCCACCTAATAACTTTTCCAACTTTTCATAGGGGGTGCCGAACTTTTCCAACTTTTCCAACTTTTTGACCGAACTTTTCCTTGTTTGCAACACTAGTCACACTTTAATAAAATAAATAAACAAATCATATTCAATAATAATTTATTAAATGCTCTTAAACAATAAATACACACACACCAAATATAATTGAGCAAAGGTAATAGGATACTTTTTACATTATAAAAAGCACAAACACAATTTAAAAATTTCTGCATAATTTTCACCATCCTCCTGCGTACATACCTGAAGATCCCGAAATAGTGACAGGGACTGCGGGAGGTCCTTCGACGACCGCACCGTATCCATTAGTAATAACTCCTGCACCAAGCACTGGGGACACCACGGGGGCTAAAATTGGAGCTGTAACTTGAACTGGAGCGGGACCTACATAGGATGTGGCCAACCCCCATCCCGATGGAGCTGAGTAGGTAAGAGTTATAACTCCCAAGAAGACTAAAAGCTACAAAAAATAAACAAAAAATAAGATATAGTTTGTTAATTGTGTTAAAATTCTTACCATGGATTTCATTTTGACTTTTTGTTCTTTAATTGTGTGAAGTATTGTTTGCTCGAGCTTTTATATATTGAAAATATTTCAAAATCGACCTTGTTATACGAAATTGTCGCTTAAAAATTAATGTACCACAAATTAATGGTATAAAGTTTATACCATTAATTTAAGGTACATTAATTTTTATACTATAAATTAAAGTGTAACATTGGGAAAATAGTTTTGATTGGATAAGGAAATGCAAGTAATGCATAGTACACGCTATGTACACGTATTGGTAGTATACTATAGTAACAAAAGTAAAACTTTTAATAATCGGCTGATAGACGCTTATGTTACAAACGAGTGTTTTTGAGAATAAAGCCGGAAAATGTTAAAAATTATCGAAAAAAAAGCGTGTTTTTGGGTGTATTTCGAGAGGAAATCCTGGGTTGAGTTTTTACCGGTTTTCCAATAAACAGTGTTAATCTGAATGAAGAAATAAATTGCATACAGTCTCTGTAAATATAAATTGTACCTATTAGATACAATAAATACACATTTTTGTAATGATTAACGTGAAAAGTGTAAACATTTCAATTCAGTAATAATCGTCAAACAAATAAGTCGTCTAAATTTAAACAGTATTTAGCATTATTAAAAGCGTTGATTAAAAAAGTCTCCCCTCAACGGTAAAATACCATTATATTATGTGAGGCCTGTCATATCAAAACCGACAATCTCCACTTTTGGTCAAAAATTAGATGTTTAGCGGAGACTATACTTCAACTAATTATCTATAAGATGATAAAGTTTATGTGCTGCAAAAGGAGCTATCCTGCCTATAATCCTATTTTAAAAATGTCATTTAGTGCAAAGTCGACAATCTCCATGGAGATAGTGCACTAATAGATTTGCAGCAAAGTATACAATCTCCAATTCCACCATTAGAAATGAGTAATTTGTGTCACCTGATATCCTAACATTTGATATTATAACGTATTTTAGAGATTTAATTTTGTGTTTTTTTACTGGTACATACTGTTAAGTTCTATTGCAGTAAATTGCACTTCAAAATATATATTTAAAATATATATTTAAAATAGGTATATATACGTTTTATTGTTTTAAGAATTATAAAAAAAGATATCTTGTTTATTTTGTGCTATTATACCATAATAAGACGTAAAGGTAAAGCAAGAAAAGGCTGTTAATGTCAAAACATTGCAAGTAAAACATTACGAGGCAAAGTGGGAAGAAGATGATGAGTTGTTAAACTATAAAAACTTTTTTGCACGAGGCAACCTGGTCCCAGCTTTAGAAGAAACTCCAGATTTATGTGGTCCAGTTCAGAATTTTCCCACATTGATTGTATAGTTAAATATAACCAAAATAAAAATACAATTATTTTTTAGTTTATTTTTCTAAATCTCCTTAACCGTTTACAAAATGAGCAATCTCCAGCAATTCATATCAAAGTCAGCAATCTCCAATTTATAATTATAGATTTCACCTAT